TGTTGAGTTTTACCTTTTTTTGGTTTATTTATGGAACATATTATGTCAGTTTTTTGTTGAGTTTTTAAGTTAAATATAAAGTTTTACTAAAAATTAATGTTTTCGTAACTGTAAATTTATGGACAATATATAATAGAAGTATCAGATATGATTAAAATCTAAAAGTTGAAATCTTTGTTTTAACAAAAAATGGAATGTTATATTATTGTTGCTGATAATAAACGGACTTTGAGGTAAATGAAAAGTTTGATTTGTAGAAACACCAGGTTTTTCACATAAATTAATTTCTATGGCGTTATCTAGGTGAACATTTGTTTAATACTTAAATTTATAATAAATGTACTAAACTATGTTAAAGCATCACCCGCAAATCTCAATTAAGTTTGCGTTATCAATATAACCTTCAGAACATTAAACGATATTACGTATGACCTCGAACGTTAATACCCATAGTACGTAGACAAATATTACAAGCTGTACAACTGTTCGACTGCAAAGCATATTTACGCGGTTGTTATTGTATTAACTATATATAAAGCTACAATAATGCAAAACGTGGTTTCATCAATACAAAAATACATCAAACGCAGTGTTTATATTAGGGACGACCGGGAATTACTAACCCTCCCACACCAAAAAAAATAATTTTTTTATTAATCATTTACTCCTATAATATACCCAAAGCCGTGTTAAGGAAGGTCTAAGGGGGAAATTGCCCCTAAGCGCCGTAGTTTTGTAAAAGTAACGAGGCGCCTTTATCTGCACTTAATATGCTACCTGTGTTCAATGAACCCGAAGAAAAAATTTTGCGCTGGGCTCTGAAATACTCGACATGACTCTCAACATACTACATACCATATAACCACCCCTTCTGAGATAGAAGGTCTGAAATAAACACTTGATGATCAAAGTAATGAGAATAAATCTATATAGGTATTGATTTTATAATATAATATATTAATATTATTACTATGAAATCAATGATGTGTACGTAACAATATAGTATGGAGCAGTGGCGTACATTCGATCTTGCTCTGGTGAGGGAGGAGGTTAACAAAAATAACCTTTTTTTTTTTTTTGTTGCACAGATAAATAAGATAAATAACTGCTATAAATAGATATTAATTTATACAACTGTTTTACCAATTTACAATTTACTTTTACATTACAGTAAATTAATAGATATTGGATTATAAAAACAGCATAGTCAACAAAACTTTTCAAACACCTATCAATATAACTATTTAATTATCATAATATTTGTATAGTTGTATATTTTAAATTCAAAGCGTAATAATGAAACTACGAATATATTACACGTCATCAATAATAAAATAATTTTCTTTTTTTTTTTGGCCCTGGGGGGGGGGGTTTAAACCCGGAAACCCCCTCCGTAAATACGCCACTGGTATGAAGTACCTAAAGGCATAGATTCTTCTTCCTTAGCTTAACGGTCCCTGTAGGACCTGAGCTGCCACAAGCGATTCTCTCCATCTTTCCCTGTCCAATGCTAGGTCAACAGTCATATTTCTTCCCAGCAACTTGATATCTTTTTATACCACATCTTTCCACTTCGTTCGTGGTCCGCCTATTGGTCTTTTTTTTTGTATGGTCTCCGTTAGTACTTTTTTTATTATGTCATTATCAGCTCTCCATACATGTCCAAACCATTCCATTCTCTTAATTTTTATATACGTCGTAATATTGGGTTTTAAAAATAGTACGTATAGATCTTCATTCTTTCTTCTCTCAAAAATTCCTAACTCTGTATTATATATTGGGCCAAAAATGTTTCTAAGTACCTTTCGTTCGAATATTGCCAATCTGTTGTCATCACCTTTCGTCGAGGACCATGTCTCACATGCATATGTGATTACTAGTCTCAGATAGCTTGTATAGAGTAAAGTTTTTGATTTTCTTGACAGTAATTTGGATTTTAGTAGCTTACTTATACTGTGATAGCACCGGTTCCCACTAGCTATTCTTTCACTTATTTCTTGGTGCATGTCGTTTTTACTGTTTATGTTCACTCCTAGGTATTTGAAGTTTTCCACTTTTTCAAAAGTTAGATTACCTACTTGTAAGTTATGTTGATTTTCATTGCTTCTAGAGAGAACCATAAATTTAGTCTTCTCTTGATTTACGCATAGGCCCATCTTTTTACTAGCTTCCAACAATTCAGATGTAGTTTGTATAATTTCTTGCCTGGTGTTACCTAATATGACTATATCGTCTGCGTACGCTAATATCGATTCATTCCCAACTATTTCCACCTTTTGTCTTTGGGTTAATTCTCTTATGACTTTCTCCAAACCTATATTGAATAGTGTCGGGGACAAGGCATCGCCTTGTCGTAGCCCTGACTTAATTTCGAATTCCGATGATAGTTCTCCTAAAAATTGTACTTTACCCATAGTCTTGGTATTGCAGAGTTTTACCATATCAACGTATTTCTTTGGAATACCAAAACTAATCATGGCTTTCCATAACTCTTCTCTATGTATATTATCGTATGCCTGTTTGTAGTCGATGAATACCATGTATAAGTCTTTATTAAATTCATAATGCTTTTCCATTACTTGTTTGAGAATGAAAATTTGATCTGTTGTTGATCTACCTTTTCTGAAACCACATTGGTATCTTCCTACAATCTCTTCAGCAAAGGGAGCTAACCTCTCTAACAGGATTAACGATAGTATTTTGTAACAGGTATCTAATAGGGAGATTCCTCGGTAATTTTTTGTTTCTAGTACATCTCCTTTCTTAAATATTGGACAAATTATGGCTGTATTCCATTCTTCAGGTATCTATTGTTTTTCCCAGATTATGTTGATCAGTTTCCACACTTCATTTTTCACTGCTTCTCCACTATTTTTCACTAGTTCTGCTACTATGTGGTTTTCTCCAGGTGCCTTATTATTTTTCAGTTTATTAATCGCTACGTTGATTTCCGATTTCGAGATCGAGCTAATATTTGGCTCCACTGAACTATATTGTATATTTGTGTGTTCAATTGTTCTAGTTGTTGTATTATTAAGTAGTTTATCAAAATAGATTTTGAACTCTTCTACCACTTCCCTTTTGTTTGTGACCAGCTCCCCTGCTTGATTTTTTATCATTATAGTTTGTTGTTTAAAACCTTGTTTAATAGTATTACTAGTATTGAAAAAATTTTTAGGATTATATCTGTTGTTTTCCATTTCTTCGATCTTTCTTTTCTCTTCTAGTCTTTTTTCTTTTCTTAGTATTTTATAAGCTTCTTTTCTGCTCGCTGTGTATTGTTCTATATTTTCATTTGTTAGATATTTTAGTGCGATTTCTCGTAACTTATTTCTTTTACCTATAATTTATTTTAAAGGCATAGTTTATTATAGATTAGTGAATTCAATGAGATCACATCGTATACTTACGTAGCTAATGTCTCTGTGTAGGTTCAGTGCCAGCTCAAGCAAAAACAGCACTAAGCAAAATCAAATTTTGCTGCCTCAAAAAAAAATAAGCTTTTTTTTAACTTAGCCCCTCCCCTATTTTTTATGTGTCATATCTACATAAAAAAAAATTGTAATTTTTTATTTTATGAATAAAATTATACGTAGAAAGACTTAAAAATGATTTCTATAATTATTACTCAAAACCCATCACTATCGTGGCTATTGGAAATCGTGGAAGTGATTGTATGGTTAGGTATTTATATTTTTGGAATAATTGAAAACGCTCAGCGTAGGCCGTAATATGTAGTAATATAATAACTTTAGCCAATATTATTGTGTTATATAGTTAAGTGGTTTTCAGGAATGAACTAATTTAAATATTTTTCTTATAAAAGAAGAGCTCAATTATAATATTTGTATAAACGTTGTTTTATTATTTTACTTGTTATGTAAGTTCGCTCATTTGGAAAAAAGGTACTTATAAAAAAATGATTTTATTTATATATTTCCATAGGTTAGATCAGTGTTTCCCAACCAGTGTGCCGCGGCACATTGGTGTGCCGCGAGGGCCCTTTAAATGTGCCGCGATAAATCTATAAATTGTTTTTTAAGTATGTATTTACCAGCTTATTATTGATATTCGAGATGAAAACTGATCGAACTAATCGTATATATGTTTATATTATTTATTGTAAGTATGCCCGTCGCAGCCGTCTCGATCTATCGATTGTATTAATATATTTCACAATAAATAACCCTCTAATAGAGTAGACTGTAATTAGTATACATATATATGTATCAAATATGGTTCACATATTATATGGATTGGTGTGCCACGAAAATTTTGTTGGAGATGAAGTGTGCCGCATTATTAAAAAGGTTGAAAACCACTGGGTTAGATACATAGGATTACAAATAATGTTAATATAATACGCCAGTTTGTTGTTGAATAAGTAGTAAATTTGTTCTTTAAAAATGAAAATATTCGTAGAACAGGTGATTACAATATTATTATGATTATACTCAGGGGTGTGCATATACATTTTTTTTGGGAAGGGGTTCAATATTTTTCTCATCACGTATTTCAAATGTATTTATTTCACAAGATAATAATTTTATAGTAGGTACAATAGATAATATAAATAACCCTGGCAAATATTTATAATATTAAACTTAAATTATATAAACATTTCAAGTATTATCTAAATTTGTTACAATTTCGAAGGTGTTTGAACATCTGAACACCCTACCCAACCCCCTTCCCTGATTATACTACTCGAAGGCGTCAACGACCTACAGCGCTGTTGAACAGTTGAAGAGGTCAAGTGGATATGATTGAACCAAATACTATTTTAGTTTTAGCAACAAAATATAAAAATCTAAATAATAATAATTTTACATGTTGTCTTTATTCTTGTCCTTTGCCGTTTTTTATATACTCCTTGGATCTTTTGGATAACAGCGTCTTTGGTTGTACGTTATCAGTCACACTATTACTTTCGTCGTCAATCGCTGAGTGGGTAAAGCTTGATCATATGAGCAATGACAACAATAAAAACTTTATATCTATTATCATTATTCATTATTCTTTCGAAATTTCATCAATTATAGTTATACGCAAATTCACTGTTGAATATCGTTGTTGTCTATCGTAATTTGATTACATTATTTTGATTGTAGAATTATTATGTTCATTGCGTAAATAAGTTGATTTGATAAATTCAAAGAAATAAATAGAATTCAAAATGAGTTTCCTTGGTAAGCTTTTTGGTGTCAAAAAAGAAGAGAAAGGACCATCGACTGAAGATGCCATTCAGAAGTTACGATCCACAGAAGAGATGTTGATTAAAAAGCAAGAATTTTTAGAAAAAAAAATTGAACAAGAGATAGCAATAGCGAAAAAAAATGGCACTACCAATAAACGAGGTAATCCAACATTAAAAAACTAAACTTTCTTTTCACATATTATAATTATGTATTCTGCATATTTTGATTCACAGCTGCAATGCAAGCATTGAAACGTAAGAAACGATATGAACAACAGTTAGCGCAAATTGATGGTACTATGTTAACTATTGAACAACAGCGAGAGGCTTTAGAAGGTGCAAACACTAATACAGCTGTATTAACTACAATGAAAACGGCGGCTGACGCACTTAAATCGGCCCATCAAAATATGTGAGTATTGTATTATATAATTGTTAATTTATAGCCATTACCAATTATTCTGAATGATAATTTTTTCATCATAATTTAATTACGATTGAAAACTATAAAAATTACATAAAAATATTTTCTTTTTTTTTTTCTTGGATATTTATAAAATGAAGATATTTGCTACATTTCTTTTTAAATACCACCTATGTTAAATAAATTTAGTCTATGTTTATCATAGAACACATGAGAAAATTAATTATCTTATAATTTATAATTTTATGTTTTATAAGAATATTAGTTACTTTAAAATTATATTAAACTATAATTTATGTCATTAAATGCTAATTGAGTACTATTGTGTTCGGTATCTTAAAGAGTTTTACTACTTGTTATTTTAATTTAGTTCAAATCAATGTGTACATTTTAGTAAAAACAAAATGTAATAAAATAACAGTATGCGGTAGAAATACTAAATCAGCAAATATTGTACAATAACTTACATTAAAACACTTAAAATTAAGAATTCAGTTTTTGCGGTAATGAATGTTCGGCCTACTATACAATATTCAGTGACTTATTCATTTTATCCGCACTATATACCTTCATACTATTATATTATTTTTTGAGAAGTTATTTCAAATTAAAATGAATTAACAATAATTTAAAGTAAATTACCTTTAGAAGAAAATTGTAACATTTACAGTGTGATAAATTTAGTTCATTTTTTTTACCTCCATTTTTATCTTAAATGAATCATAATATTTTCATGATTAAAAATTAGTTGTTTCCCATTATTTAAAAGTTTAAACTTTTCATTTAAATTTTATTTATTTTAATTAATTGGTAACCAGATACTTTTAAATTTTCTTCATTTGTTATCAAAAATATATTAGTATCTTATTTATAATTTCAATAAACAACTAATAAAAAATAATATTACTAGATGCTAAAAATAATTGGTCACAATAACATATAGTTATAACTGAAATTATAATAATTTTATCAGAAAAAAATTACATTTGTGTAATGAATAGTTAAATTTAAAATAATATACAATCATACAATTATTATTCAAATATAAAACACTTTTGGTTTCAATTCATTAAATCTGTTATATTCAACTAATATCATTATAAAAGATTTTTACAATACACAAACTAATTGCTTTAGTACATTTAGTTTAAATATGTTACTATTTTTTATCAATTAATTTATTTGTATAATTTCTTTAAATTATGTAAATAGTCATATACGTTTTCTACATATGTATATTTAGATGAATCTGATGTCTTTTAATGTTAATAATTGGAAATTTTTATAGGTTTTTAGTAAATTATTGCTATTAGTTAAATGTTATATCATTATTACTAGTAGATATAGAAAACAGAGAAGGATTTTGGGTAGAATGATAAGGAATTCTATAATATTATTATCTTAAAAACATTTTTATAAGAAAATTATAACTATACAAATTATAGAAAGTATAATTTACCAGTTTTTTTTTTTTTTAATTAGAGTGAGTTAGTTTTGATGAAATTTTTTAATTTAATTCAAACTTTATTTCATTAAGTTATCCTTTGATTCAAAATAAAATATCGCTAAATGTTTTTTTCTAACTTTTCTTTTTTTATATTAATAATTTATTAAATATTAATATTTCTTCTTTTCGTGTCCGGCGATTTTGCAGTTATATTTTATCCGTCCAGTAAGCTGCCAATTTTATGGTGTTGTCATTAATCACGTTCATATCTTCTTTAATTATTAATATAGTAGCTGGTCATTTTAATGTATTCAATTATTTAGTACTAAAGTCAATTAAATAACTAATATGCACCTGTATTTTTGTGCTAATAGAAATTTATGTGATGAATTAAAAAAATCTATTTAGATAGTAGAATATGCTATTTATTTTTCTTGGAGCTGTTTTTATTTTAGTATTTTAGTATATAGTTTTCCTAAAACTGTTTAGAAGTATAAGCTTGCTAATACATGAATCATATATATTAAATTTCAAAGTTTATAATAGGTTAAAAAGTTTAATAGGCTATTCTTAAATCATAATTAATGTTTGTTTACCAATTATATTAAATAACCATTACAATTTTATTTTAAGTTAATTATAAATAATATTTTATAGTAAAACAAAATATTATTTATGATAACTAAAATTAATAATTTTTGCTATAGGAATGTAGATGATGTTCATAATATGATGGATGATATAGCAGAGTCACAAGACTTATCTAAAGAAATATCTGAAGCTATTTCAAATCCTGTCGCTTTTGGAACTGATGTAGACGAGGTCAGTATAATAATTTTTCTTAAAAGATAACTATTTTTAAACAATTTAAAAAAATGTTATACTCTATTTAGATAAATGTAGTTGATTGAATTTGTAAACTATTTAATAGATTTAATTTTTCCTGTTTAATGTATTTTATTATGTCTATGAGTTATTATCTATTACATCATTAATAATCATTATTTTTACTAAATATCTTATAAAATTTAATTAGTTTCATTGCTATAATTGTATTAGTAACTTTTAACATATAAAGTGAATTAATTAAGTAACTTTTGTCAAACATAAAACATTTTAAATATTTAAAACAGGATAGTTAAAAAGGTATAAAAAATATATACATTTTATTTGTGATCAACATACTTATGCTAAGTAAAATAATTATGAACATGCTTAACTAAGAAAAAATGTATTATTAAAATAGGATGAATTACAAAAAGAATTGGAAGAGCTTGAACAAGAAGAATTGGACAAAGAACTATTGAACACAGGCAAGACACCAGTTACAGATTTACCAACTCCTGCAGTGCCAACATCTGAGCCCAGTGGTCGAGGCAAAGGTATTTACTATTTCTTATTAAATTATCTAAAGATGTATAAATTTACCAACTAAGATCTTTTTTTTTTATAATTTTTAGCAAAATCCAAAGTGGAAGAAGATGACGATGATATGAAAGAATTAGCAAACTGGGCTTCATAAATTGAAAATTAAAAACATCAAATTGTTAAACATGAAAAAAATTTACTATAAATATTTTTAAACGATCAGTACATATACTATTATGTTATTGCATAGATACTGTTTAACACAAATTTATTATCAGCGTACCTATTTTTAAAAAGCAAAATAAGAATAAAATATTTTGCTGTTAATATTGATATCCAATTTTCACGTTTAATCCATCCGGTATATTAATTATTGTCACAAATTGGCAAGCAGTGTCTATGAAAAAAGAGTAAGTCATATTCACATTAATCCAGCTTCTTGTATATACTTCCTTATTGTTAATTGTGAAGATATTTTTAATAAAATTACATAATTACAAGAATACATTTTATATAGAATATTAGTATATTCAATTGGTTTATTTTACACTTTTTTTTTTTTAGTAATTTTAATGTTAATTAAATTTATTCATTTTATTACTTAATATTAATATTTTTATTTGTCTTAAGCAAACATAAAAAATATATTTTTTCAATTTAACTTGTATATCTCATAGTATATTATTATTAATGGTACTGTGAATTTCAATGCATTTGCATGTATTTTTTGTTACTTTATTGGTGAATTGAGTGGCAGTACAATTTCTTTTCTCATAGTACGTTTATTTAAAATGCCTATTTTCTTTAAATATTTATATTGAAGCATGTTTCTATTATCTTAGTTTTTTTACCGATCTAATTATAAATAATCTTCAAGTATTTTATTTTTTCATTCAATATAAAATTTAAAAATAATTTAAATTATTTTTTGTCTACACGAATAGAATATTTTATATTTAATAATATTAGGTGGATTACAAGTTTTGATTTATGTCTCATAAATTCTAAATTTGGTTTTTTCTAAAATAATTTGTTATAACTTCTGCTTCTTCTCGTGTGGTTGACAAAACTCATATACCTTTTTTCGATTAGTGCATTATAAAATCGATGATTCGATCAGTCAATGTATTAAACAGATCATTTTTATTTTATATATTGTATGATGGATATGTGCATTTCAGCAGATGTTCGTCGTCCTGTATTTCTTCATAGTCGCATCTTGGATTTACCTCAATGCCCCATTTTACAAGATTTACCCTTGTGCGGGCTGTCCCTGTCCGTATGCGATTTAACGTTTTCCAATCTTGATAGGGTGTTGGTGTCCAGTGGGTAATGCTTCTATAATCACGTCAGAGTTGGTTGATTCCTCTTTCCACTTTTCTAATTGTTCGTCTAATTTTTTAAGATATATATTGAAGGTTTAACATTTGTTTTAATTTTATCTAAAAATATAATACAAAGTAATTATATTTTGACTGATAATAATTGTCCATGTTGTGCTGAGCCTAGTCTTTTGAACTACACGGTGGCTGCATTTCATCTACTCAGTATATAAAATATATTTGTATAGTAGGTACTGCCTGTTTGATTTTTAAAATTTGTGTGAATCAATAAAAAATATTGATATCTTAGCAGTTAGAAAAAAACTGCCAGTGGTGTTTTTTTTTTAATTTTTGGAAGTACCAATTGGGCAGTGGCGTATATAGTGGTTTGCAGCCCCCCTTCACCCCACCCCCCGAAATGTTTACAAAAAATTTAAACACTATTTTAAACGTAGGTATGTTATATTTTAATGGTTCTTTATACTTATTTAGAATTTATGTCTAACGTCAAATCGTTTTGGAACATTCTGTAAATGAAATGTAGATAAATACCTACTGTGTTTTGTTAGTAATTTTTAGATAGCAGTCGAAATTTAACTCTATCTATAATAGTCCCTCCTGAAAATATTTTCTTTATACGCCACTGCGATTGGGTAAATTGATTTGAGTATGAGTTCAGGACTAAGATTTATTATAGAAAAGTAGGTTTTTTTTATAACTAGTTAATACTTTTAAATATCATTTTAAATTTCCCCAGTAATTTTCTTGAGCGTAAAAAAAACTAATATTATGTGTGCAATTTTTTATTTTTGCAACTTAGAAAATTTTAAATTTAAATTAAGTTACTTTTTCTCAAAGTTAACTTTTAACTTAACGAGTTAAAAAAAAAATCGTTAATTTGCCCAGGCTCGTTTATTCTATTCATAACTACTTGCTCGAATAGTTTATACATATGGTCAGTGGCATACATTCAATCTTGCTCAGGGGGGGTTAACAAAAATAATCGTTATCTTTTTTTTTTTTCGTTGCACAGATAAATAACTGCTATAAATAGATATTATTTTATACAAAATTTTTTACCAATTTACAGTTTACTCTTACATTACAGTAAATTAATAGCTATTAAAATATTAAAACAGCATAGTCAACAAAACTTTTCAAACACCTATCAATATAATTATTTAATTATTATAATATTTGTATAGTTGTATATTTTAAATTCAAAGCGTAATAATGAAACTACAAATATATTACACGTCATCAGTAATAAAACAATTTTTTTTTTTTTGGCCCTAGGGAGGGTTTTGAACTTTTACTGTTGAAGGTGCTTGGTAATTTTCCGTCATGTATCAGTTGCATTTGACATTCGTCAACCCATTTCTCTATAAGCTCTTATAAGCTCTCCATCTTCATTGGTATTAGCGTATCCCCAGCTGAGGCTGTGACTATTAAAATCGCCAATGACTATTCTTGTATTTTGGTTTTGGAAGTTTGGGGGCTCTATAAACTTAAATGATGTAATTGGTTTTTTATATATTGAGGATATTGTGATATTTCCCAGGTCTATAGTTATTATTTCCATATTGTTCTCGTCCGTTATTTGTACTGATTCGAAATTTAACTCGTCTCTGACAAAAATTACACTGCCATACTTATTGTGTGGGCGTCGACCTATTATCTTCATGTTAGCTATAGATGGGTTATGGTCGCATTATTTTCGGTGGGTTTCCTGTAAGCACAGTACGTCTACATTATTCTTTTTCACTAAATGTAATATTATTTTTTTTTCTCTGATGTCAGTCCCTCAATATTAAGTGACATCGTCGTCAGATATGGTACTGATAAAGACCATTTTGGGAGGTTTTGTCGACTAGTGGTTGAAAGTTTGATCGTCATCATGTTGATAGTGTACGTCTCCGTTCGTGGTCAAGTTGCTGCCGTTATCCAGGGGGCGCCGCGTAGAGGCTCTTTCAATGCCTCCCTGTTATGACTAAAATAATATGTATATAAATCATTATTTAAACTAAATAGTACATGTCGACTTTTTTTCAATTCTAAATTATTTAGCAAAAACAGATTTTAAAATGTATTATTTAGCCCATAATCATAATTTTACTACATACCTACCACGTATCAAAGTCTCATAAACATGCAAGTAAAACAAGTAGTGTATTATTTTGCCAGAACTTTAAGGTTGGACGATTAGAGGCTTCAGATTTTGTCTTACAATTGTTTAAGTATGTTTAATTTAAATACATAAACTATTAACATAGACATGTACAATTTCACGCCAAATGCACCAATTATTTTTGCTGGTAATTGATCAACAGCCTATAAGTCTATTTTTTTTTTTTTGACTTTTGTTAATTTCCAATAATAATTTATAAAAAAATTATAAAAACCAATTTTTAATTTAGCAATAGTATACTCATTAATAAAAATTAGTGTAGATAAATCATTATAGATGATCCCTGTATGACGGCGTAGCCTAAATTAATAGCAAAAAAAAGTAATGTGAACATTTCACCCTCAAGACACTCAATACTTATGAAAATATGTTCCTATTGATAGGTACTTTAGATTTTATTTTAGAAAAAATATTTAATTCTTTTACAATTCACAAAACATCACTAATGATACAATTTTAAAAATATTTTTAACAACTTAATTATTTACATTTTAAATACTGTAAATTTGTATGTATTATAATAATGTTTAAAACAATGTTTACAAAGATAATTAAATAAGTATTCTGATTGATGCATCAAGTATTAAAAAATTTATATCCGTTTTCAAAACTAATGTTTTATTTTATATTTCAGAGTATTATTAAATGTACAATGTTATCGATAAAAAATGAACTGGTGTAGAGGCTAATTAATCAATATTACACTTATTATATTGAGAAATATTTAAACAATTATTTTTAATTGCATTATTTTAAAAGTGTTAGCAATATAGCTAATTTGGTCGAGTTTTATTTTTAAGTATTTATTCAATGTACAACAATTCTAAAAGCTTTACTGGAGTGCATTGAGCTTTATTAAACCTGATATTGTCCTATCTATCATATAAATTTAAACTTTGAAATTTATGGCTATTTGGTCAAGTTGGATGTTATCTCATCATACTGGATTTATGAACATATTTTAAAATTATAATTATATTTAAAAAAAATATGCATTATTTCCTTTTTCTTGTAAGTATAAAAAATTCACTTGTTTCATTTTAAAAATTGATGACATTTTTTTCTATCTATTAATACATCAACTATACAGTTTGAAAGTATTGTTTTTAATAGTAACATAAACAAAAATATGTCTATGATAAAAAAGTTTTTAATTTAATTTGAAAAATTAAATTTTGTTTAATATGTATAGATAAAATATAAGTTATTAAGATTCGATAAGAAACTTATGACTCATCCAGAATGCTTTAAATATGATTCATATGCAGCAAATTTTTGAATTTGAAGTCATTACAAAAAATAATGCTTAATAATATGCTTAATAAATGTCACTAATGTACACAACTATTTCTTTAAGGCTTATCTTCCAACGAAGTAACATGACGCGTGATCTGGCAGACGATTTGTTTGAACACGTTATGTAACACGTCGCTCGTGAATTCTAAACACGATTATAAGAAAAACCACCTAATACCGCATATTAATCGAACATGTCAGATCATATGTTACTTTGAAATCATTTTTGAAATTTTGTTACTGACAAGTGTAGGGATCCCAATTTATTTTTTTAAAAACACGGGACACTTGAAATCATACTTATATTGTAGGTATACAAAGTGGCATATTTACGGGGGGGGGGGATCAAGGGGATCATTAATCCTCCGTTGGATGTATATAATTAGCAACATTTGGAATCCTTACTTTAGACCTATAACTTGATAAAACTTTAACCCCCCCCTCCAAGAAAATACCTAAAACGCCACTGGATAAATACTTGAAATGTACATTTAGTAAACTAATAATTACATATTGGATACTTGAATGTAAGAACATTTATAAATTTTAGTTTTACTTATTATCAAGCATTATTTATTATCAACACATTTTAATTAAAAATTATAATAGGGTGACTTTCCCATAGTACATTTATAATTATAAACAAAAAATATGACTTTTTTATAGGTAACAAATTTATAACAAAAAATTAAAAATGTAATAACAATATAAACAAAAATTTAAGTAATGTAGGAATATTTAGTTTTTAGTTTTATTTATTTATATATAATATTTATCATCTGCATATTTTTGACTAGAATAAATTTCTTTTTGTAGTTTTTCATTTTCTGAGAGCACATGATAAGCCTAAGCACTTTCATTTATCTAAACTACATAATTTATCAGCAGCAAAAAACCTTTTATTTCCAAAGAATGCATTAACTTTCTTTGTTTTGCTTGATTCTACACCTAATTTATGACGTTTGGTGTCAATATGTTACAATTTACAATGTCAGATTTATTGCCATGATCAATACTGAAAATTGCACCACAATAAATAAATTCAATTTTTACGTTTAGGCATTTTTATTACTAAAATACTAACAACATTATGAAATATAAATTCTAATAGACTAATAAAATAGTAATAGTAAAATATGAAAATAATTAAAAGAATTATAGAATTTGATAATAAAATGATAATATTCAATTATCGTCCATAATATGCCGTATCAACGTATTTATATCAAGATCTATAAAGATATAAAAAGATATATAAAGAAGATATAGGCTTTGCATTCATATGCCGATAGCCAATTTGATAGCCGATATAGTATCTGTAATTAGTGTAACCCACGGTTTAAGATCTTTAGCCGTGATGTAACCACAAAACCAACAAAAAAATTTGTTGTTATTATAATCAAATAATTATCATTTATCAATAATTTAAATTTTAAAGTGCTAATAAAAATTATAAAAAAAAATTTAATTTTTGAAATAATTTTAAAATAAGGTACATAACGGGGTATCCAAAATACGGGACAAAAATGTTATTTTTGAATTTTTGTTGAGATATCGGGACGCTTCATTGATCAGGACGTATGGGATCCCTACAACAATAGTGGTGCAAGTACTACTTTCGTCATTACTCTCAGTGACTATGGGCAATTTAATTTTTTTATCGTTTTTGTCGAATTTTTCGTAATTTCAATTTCAATTTAATTCATTTTACTCATTACAGATTGGAATAAATATTTAACAAAAAATTAAACTTATTCAACTAGTTGATCAAATATTTTTTTTTCATTTAATAAAAACTTTAAAATAGACCTTTATCTTACAGGACTTTAAATACTGAAAATAATAGTTATCACGCCAAAACGGTTGAAGCCAATAATCATGCACTCTTTTTTGATTTAAAATATTCAAAAATGTCAAAGCACATAATATGTCTTCTTCATCTTGAATGCTGGACATTTTGATGAATAGTGAATCAAAACTGGTAGTGCACTAACCTACTAGCAAATCACTTGTCACACTATGTGGCCATATTACTTTGGTAGGTAAGATGCCTTAAATTTGAACTATACAAAGGCTATGACTGTAAATTAAATTATAGGGTGATACTACTTAATACTTCTATACTTCTAAAAAAATGAAATCTTAAATATTAGATCAAAATTAATATTGTTTTATTGGAATTATATACTCAATTATACAAATTATATTTTATCAGCATAGTTTTTGTATAAAATACATGCAGATTTACATTATAAAGTAGTAATTTAAAGCATGAAAAATGATAAAAAAAAAATTAATTCGGAAAATTTCATTGATCCCTTAAATGTAGGTCTTTTGCAACAGTATGACGGCAAACATACATCAAACTCATTTTATTTTTTTCAAAATTCTCAATTGCCCTGGTTCGTACTTCTTCCCAAGAATATAAATCTCTGATGAAAATAATAAGAGTTAATGACATTTTGATTATTCATTCTTATTTAATTTCAATAAAAAAATTAAATAGACACCTGTATAAAGGTCGAACATATTTCATTCTTCCAGTAGAATTAATAAATTTAAATATTAATTCTAGTTGTTCGGACCACTTGAATTTTGCACATATTCTTAGCCACCTAATCAAAGTAAGTTTACATATAATTAAGATGTAAAAACATTATATTAATCTTAATTATTAATATCACTTTATTTTAGTACCTAAGTAATATTTCGCAGTTACCATTACTATTGAAATCATAAACTTCTTGCATAATTTTTAATTTATGCAAATTGAAACTATTTGACTTCAAAAGTAATGCTAAAAATTGTATCGTTTGTGCAGTCTGAAATTCAACTAAATCTGATTTATTAAAAGGTGAATCTGTACCATCCCATTTTTCCCAACGATTCAATAAAGAATCACATTTATCTTCATAATATTTATTATACCTATAAGACAAAAAAAAAAAATAATAAAATAAATCATATGGTACAAAAAATATGTATTTTTATAAACAATTGTCTTGATAGCTTAATAGTAGAAACTTACGATGGTATTATTGGAGGCATACCACAAGTATACAGCCATAAATCCCAATCAATTTGGGATGTAACATCATTTTCGTGAAAATAGGACAGTAAGTATGATTTAAAATCTTCCGTACCAACAGATTTATATTTGAATTTATCAATATAGGATTTGAAAAATGCCTCGAATTCAGCTATAAAATATGTTATTAATAACAAGAAGACAACCTATGACAACTTTTTTAATATGATTTCCTTACATGTGCCAAACAATTTTTCCAAGTAAAACAAGAATGTATGACCCTTTTCATATGGACAAGTAGAAAATGCATCATCAGGATCAATACCACTCAGATCAACTACTAATTTAGTTAATGGATTATCAGCACCCAATGTAATGACCTATAGTATATATTAATATTTAGTATAAATGTATGTATATATATATATATATAATACATTAGACCAGCGTTTCTTAAACTGTGTTCCGCGGAACCCTGGGGTTCCGCGAAGATCACTTCAGGGTTCCGTGAAGCTTAAGTAATTTTTTAAAAAATTTTAAGGAAATTACTTTAAAATTTCCAACTTAAGATTAGCAATGTTGAAAAACTGTTTGCATTATAGAAAAAAAAGTCTTTGTATATTAAATAACATGTATAAGCGATATGGAATAGTCTACATTTATATTTCGGTGTCTAATGATTAGACAATAGTTACAGATTGTTTAAGGTCTTCAAGACCACCAAGTGCTGCAAACTCTCTCAGATTCTCGCCATGCATTGCGCCAACTATTTTGCGCTCTACATAAACAGTAAATCCTTCATTCATCCAAAAATGTTCAAAATTACAATTTGTCACTAAGTTGCCAGTCCAACTATGTGCTATTTCATGAGCTACTACATTTACTAGACTTCTATCTCCTGCCTATTGAATTGAAGAAAAAATGTATTAAAATGCAAATATTGTTATGTAGTATTATATTAATTACCAATAATGTTGGGGTTACAAAAGTTAAACATGGGTTTTCCATACCACCGAAAGGAAATGATGGTGGCATAACAAGTAGGTCATAAATTTTCCAAACATATGGACCACAAACTTGTTCAGCAGTTTTTAACAACTCCGGTATCTAAAAATATTAGATTCTTCAATTTTAATTTTTGGTAAATTCTAAAGTAATGAAATATTGGTTACTTGTTTAAATTCATAAGCAGCCTTCTCGATTTCTTCAGACTCAGACCAAATTTTTGATATAGGACTTAAAGTTCTACTGACTAGATTTCCAATAGCTAAAGCGATTAAATAAGATTGCACAGGAACAGTTTGTTGAAAAAAGAATGTACGTGTTTCACCATTATCAGTAACTTCAACTGGAATAGCACTCATCAATACTGTTAATGGTTTAGGAGCTGTTATCTGTAATGTTTAAAACTATCAATAATTTAAACAGATATATAATATATATTTATTAAATTGTATTACATTTGAAATTATACTTACCTTTGCAGTATATGTTGATTTTAATGATGGTGTGTCTTGACAAGGAAGCATAGATCGAGCATGAGCAGGCTACACAACAAAAATCATTTAACTCAAGGAGAAATTTTAATATTAGATAATTAACATACTTGGCATTGACTAAACAAATATGGATAAACTTTGCCTAAAGTTTGTTCAGGTGTAAGCCATTGTAAAGCTGAAGCAGTTTTAGATGTTTCATAAGTTATTCGTATCACACCCCTAAAATGTAATAATATAATAGTCATGGGTATCATATTTAGATGGTTAAAGTTTAACCATACAACAAAATTTTAGAAATATGGTGTACCTTTAGTATAAAATATTATTAAAAAAATATTATAATAACAATTATTATTCATTACTTTTTAGTAAATGGAAGTTTTATTTCTATTTTTGATCCAAATACTTTCAAACTATCACCTATAGTGAACTCCAGTGAAGATCCATCATCTTTATTTATAACACTAATAATATTTAAATCCAGATTATCCAAAATCTGAAAATAATAAATTCTGGAAAATTATTTTATAGATAAAATGTATTTTCTGTGCCATACAATATGATCACAATTTTCATCAATCTTAGTAAAATTCAAATCAACAAGTCCTTTAAGTTTTTTGTTTTTGAAATCAGCAGCAAGTTCTATATCAATATGATTGATGGCAACTTTTTCTAAAACATTAATATAATGATAATTTAATTTTAAACATAAAAAATGTACACAATGTCTGAGTTTACAAGTAAACAACATAATTAATGTTACTTAAATAATTGCTTCTTAATTCTTCTAAATATAGATTATGAACATTATAAATTATTATGAATAGTACCTATTTAATTAATAACATTATCATGTATACTGCAGTTAATGAATATTCATGGTATGTGAGTTATTTAATAGAACTTTTCAAAACAATTCTAATAGTTTTTAATGAATTTATGAAATAACTATAACAATTATTATTCATATGGTTTTAATTTGAATATCTGTTTAATGTAAATAATAAAATAAAAATATAAAATATAGTTTTATAAAAGTTGATTACCAAAATAATGAAAATAATATTTACAATAATTAGGTATAGAATATAATATCAGCTATACTTATTAAATCATCATACATTTAAATAGGATTATAATTTTTGGAGGTAATCATGTTTTATTGTTGAGTCATCACTAGATTTGTTCAAGTTTGACTTTTTTTTTTTTTTAGAAAAATTCATATAAGTAACATAACAATTATAATAACATTAATTACATTACATATTTTAAAAATGATTTATTTAGTTTAAAGTATGTTAAAAAAAAAAAATTTTAAAAATTATATGCTATTTACAATTGTACAAATTTGGTCAGAATAAGTAAAGAACAAATTGATACTCACCAGGTAATGAATAGGATCCTGGATCGTTAGGACTCAGTCTTTTACCAGATGCCATTTTTATTTATACTTATCAAGTATATTTTGTAACGGAGAGTGTTTATTCCAAAATGTTGTACCCGTTGACTATCAACCAAAAACACTAGAGCGCAGAACAATACGTTATTTAACAAATGTAACCGCAATAGTCGAGAAGAATAATTATTTTCAGTTTATGGTTCGATCGCGATTTATCAGACCATAGATAAACGTTTATCTATGTATCAGACAATACTAAACAATGCATATTAAATATTATGTATGTAATTTGATTTTAGAAAGTTTACTAAGCTCTATCAGTAACAAACCAAGTGACAAGCAGTGCTAACTGATAAGGAGTCGTCACTTGATACCATAGACATAATATAACATTATAACATTATATTATGTCTATGCTTGATACGTCTTGTTCAAATCTGTCAAATAGAAAACCACAATTACTTATCACCACCAAGAGCGCTATTATGTTCACGAATACCATTAAATACACGTGACACGGCATATTGTAATTTGAAATATTCTAAAATATGTTTTAAATTCATGCATTCAGTGACGTAAATTGGCCTATGCAAGCTTAGCACTTTTACCACCATATCTGAAATTTATACTTTTGTGTATACAAAGGGCGCGGTGGATTGGGCCACCGAGATACCGGAAAAGTTACCGATGGGCCGGTAGTCGTATTATAACACTGTGCCGATGTACTTAGATTAAAGATTATTTTATAAAAATAATTTATTTAAATATATTATATTTAATTGTAAGATTGTGATAAAAACCTAGTGTAAACGTGATATAAAAATATCTACGAGCATTTAATCCATGAATAAAGGAGACTTTTAAACTATTAAGGGAAATTATTATTATTGGATGGTGGGCCAGTCATACGGTAATTTCCCAGGCTGAAATTTTTAGCCAATCCGCCGCTGTACAAAGGTATACTTATGCAACACCAAAAAATCATGACAATTTGAATACCTGTAAAATTATTTTTAAGAACCAAGAAACTAATAAAATTTTTGACCAAAGTTATAATGGGTCATTTAATGGAGTACAAGCATAGGAGTAATTAGGAGAGGACTTTGGAGGGGATAAGCCCCCAATATGAATTTTAGCCCTCCTCCAGTCATAATTTTAGTCTTGCGTTAGGTACGGTGTCCAATACGCGACCGATACAAATTTTGTAATTGCAAAAATTTGTAAAAATTGATTCTAAATTTTTAATTTTCAGTAGTACGTCAATTTCTGTTGATGCATAGCGTACATTTTAACATGTCAGACGATAAGTTATTGGGCGTTTCGAATTATAGTAATTTGATTTTAAACTTACTACAAGATGAATTGGAAGAAAATTTATAATTTTTTCTTATTTAATGCCTAAAAAATGGAAAATATTTTGTGAAATTTCTTTCCATATTGAGTCTTTCATTATTAAATTTTTATACTGCATGTGGGAACTATCATATAAAATTGGGTATTTTCTGACAAATTCAATAAAAATTTCATTTTCATGCGGTGTAACTACAGCCGACATTTTGACTCGTCAATCGGTCGTGTTGATCGCCGTTGCACTACTTTCGTCGCGATGCTATTACTGGTCGCGGCGACAAATTTAACTGTCGCGCGCTGCAGTTGCGTGTTGGACACCAGTCAATGGGAAACGCAAATAAACGGTAGAGCGCGATCTGTCGCCGCGACAAGTAGCGCATTGGACATCGTACCTTTACGGTAGCTACATTTTTAATTTTAATTTAAAATATCATTTTATTTTTTTTATTAATATCTTGGAAAAATATTTATTTTTTTTTGGTTATACATATCATTGTAATACGATGATTTATGTAAGGTTTTACTACATAAATATTAAATAGAAATTATTAATAAATTAAACATAAAAATAGTCGTAAAAGACGTACGATTATTAATAACTTGTGATAACGATTAACGAGTAGGTATCGAAATATAAATGAAACTGACTTAAAATCAGAAATTTTGGTTGCAAATAATTGTTATGACAATCAATTGGAAAAAATTAATCAGAACATTTAAAGTAGCTAAAGAGTATCGTTGAAAAATCTGTATTCCCAAATTTATATAAAATGCAACATTTAGCGCTTGTAATTCCAACAAGTTCTGCATCTTGTGAAAAAACATTCTCAGCTATGCGTCGAATAAACACCTACATAAGATCAACTATATTACCAAATCAATTTTCCAAGTAAGCAATCAAAGCAATTGAAAAAGATTTGTCAAACATTCAAAACAAAGAAAATATTTTAAATTAATTTGCCAATTCTGAGCGGAGGCTTAAGCTAAAATAGTTATAGAATTCCTTTAAGTTTTTAATTTTTAAGAAAATTTAACTTGTATCTAAAATAATACTTAATAAATATGTTAATATTTTAATGTTTACCTCAACATCGCTTTTTGTTATTATCTGCCTTATACATTGTATATTAATAAAATAATATTATAATTTAATAATATTACTTGAAGGACAAGTTTGGGGGGGGGCAGAGCCCCACATTTTTTACTTATTTTAAACATGTTAAGGCTGAATCCCCGATAACTTTAGGATCTAGTTACGCCTATGAGTGCAATATAAAATACGTGAACTAAATCCACTGACATTTTATACCCACTGCTATGTTAATATATTAAATTTATGTTTAGTTGATCTCACGAAACAAGTAGTTAGTGTGAGAATTGTTTTTGGTATATTATAATCCTTAGATAATTTTATTAAAGCATCGTCTAAACTTGATGCAATTTATGAATCTATGTGGTCAAAAGCATTTAAAGTAAATGGACCAAAATTTTCAAAGAAGTTATGTAAAACCGGATGGAGTTGCCAAATTCGAGGGTGTATTTTAGGGGGGTGAGGAAGGGGCAATCGCCTTCCTGGATTTAACAACTTTAATTGCTATGTGGTATTTTGAAAATTATTTATATGGTAATAATTGTTGTGTTTTTCCTTATTTATCTCCTTACAGTCATTGAACTATAACAATTAAGTATTGTTATTTTTCTCAAAAAAAGTATATAAATAAAGATGATTTTCCTTTCGCCCCCGTCCCTTCTGTAAATTAAATTTCAGGGATGCTTTTGACCGAATTCATGCGTTGAAATCTGTTTATTTATACTTTAGTGAGATCATTAAAACGCTAGAATATAAATATAATCATAACACAAATTGAGGAAATGAAAGTTTGATAAATAATCTATTACATTTTGTATTTATATTTTATTTATTGTTTTTAAAAATGTATTTAAAAAAAACTCACATTTTATCAAAATATTTGCAGTCCCCAAATGTTAACTTTTCTACGTTAAATGATTTGTGTCGGAGTAGGTATTATAGATATATTAAAATGTCTAAGATAAGATAATATGTTTGTACGTAAGTGGGATGAAGTAATAAAAATTCTTGATAAATATCAAATTGAGCATCCTAAAGTAAAAGAAAGAAAATATTCCTTTTTAGTTAAGTAATAATCAGTGCTCGAAGTGGAGGGGGATACGGAGAGATGGCATGCCTCTACTTTTTTGTATTTACAGTTTTCATCCATCTACTTGTTTTGTTTAGAATAACGCATTCCTCCTAAGACTTGTATTTTAAAATGATTTACTTTCATTTTTATATTTATTTATAAGACACTTTTTTTTCAGTGAAAATAATTGTTTTTAATTAACATTAAAGCCCGGGCGCCCGGCTTATCGTGTTTAGTGTAAACCATTTCGCAACTCGTATTATACCCATATTTAGAGCCACGAACTAAGATAATTTACTTTATGTGAACTATAAAAAAATATATATTATATATATATATATAATATATATTATAGGTACACAAGGTGTGAAGAATGTTATGATGATATCAGGAAATCTGAATAATAAGGCATCCCTCCATTTATCTTGAGCCATTTCGACCACTGGTGGTAATGAAACACAGCAGAATACAGTGCCGTAAAAACCGGGTGTGCAGAGTGTGCCGCACACACGGGTCCCAAGCTTCATTTTAAAATTTTAAGATCATTAAACGAGTGTGCAACAATGACTTAGATAGATATTTATTAATTAATTTGGTGTCCAAATATAAATGTATAAATGTTATATGCAAATATAATAAATATATGTAAACTTCATTTATATGTTTATGAGTCTCAGTAATTAAGCTATACATTAAATAATTAAAGAACCAATAATTATAGGCTAATAGTGATTTAGTGGCCCTTAAATAGACTAATAAATCTAAATGAACCATTAAATTAATAAATAATTTTACAACTCAACAAAACAGTGAAAGTATAATTTATGTAATTTATTGCAGTGATGTTCAACCGGTGGGTTGCGATAAATTTTCTATTTAAAATTTAAAAAAATAATTTATATATATTATATTATGTATAAGTTTATGTCATATGATATTGGATAAAAAAAAATTTCGATTAAACCCGAAACCGTATTATTTTAAACTATTTCATATTTGTAGAAGATAAGAATAAAAACTTTTCTTATACACTCATACTTAATTAGAAAAAAGCCTCAACCAATATTCGACACATGCAACTAATTATTAACTGTCGAACACATAATGTAAATAATGTATCTAATGGATGAGTGTACACAATATACTTCAATACATACCGACTTGAACATCTCATCTAACATAGTAAAAGTACTTGGCGAAAGCTTAAGTCTGACAATTATCACGTTCTTAAGTAACACAAATATTATTAATAAGTCTTAATTTTAAACTTAACACCTAATACATGCAATATGTAACATCTAATAATTAAATTTTGTTGTTGAAACCTTAATTTTCAAATAAAAAAAAAGAATGAACTATCAAATAAAGTAATGGTATAGCGATAGTCCGACTAACTCCATAAAACTAATTTACATTTCATTTATCACTAAACTACATTGTGTGAAATTGAGCCGAGGTGGAGGTATCCTGTGTAAAAATAGTCAGGGAAAAATATGACTAATATTTTTTTTTTGTGTATTATTACATATACTTATTTCGGTATTATTACATGTCTTTTTTTCTGTATCATTACCTACTTATAAATAGGGCTCGGATTTCAATGTCCTAAAAAATCAAAAAATGTTCCGCAAATCGTGACATTATTTCGGCGACCATTGAATTGGTTCCCAATTTTGACTTGAATTGACTCCCGAAAATGTATATTTGAATTGGCTCCCAAAACTGTTAAATATTATTATTAAGGGGTTCTCATAGTATTATATGCGTTAACTTTTTCGACACCAACCAATTATAATCTAGTTTGGTATAATATTTTTATTGTATATTATAATGACACTATAATTTTGTATGGGTTTTATCTTTTTTGTATTAATTTGTATTTATACATTATACTTGTTATGTATTTTATAACGATGTGTTCAGCTATGATACTGTCTGTATTTTAATTTTTAATTATTGTTTATATTTATTGTATTATAGTGTTATTGACTATTGTAGTATATTTACTAAATAATTTTGTGTAAAAAAAAATAGATTTATAACTGTCAATGTAACAAAGTAAAATATACAAATGTAATACCGTAAACCATGTGTTAAACTTAAGAATTTACTCGGTTATATTGTGTGTGATTGAAGTCAACCTAATTTAAGAAATAATGACCAACTAAATTATTAATAACATTTTGGTAACTAATATATATTTCCAAAAAAAAGGTAGGGAGCCAATTCAAAAGTAAATCCTCGGGAGTCAATTCAAAGATACTTATTTAGGGTAAAATATCGACTACCTGTATTTGGAAGCCAATTCAAATGCGCCGTCTCTTTCGTCGTCTGGCTTCGATTTCATGAAATAATTGACAAAATACTCAGATACATTTCCTGGACTTAGAAATGGTAAATCGTAACATTGAACTAACCATCTTCTAATATCAATATTTTTATTTTTATAGTCATTATTTAAACCATTTTGTTGGATACTTCTATTCCAAGACTGCGCTAAATGAAAGCGACATATATAGAGATTTTAATAAGTCAAAATTTAATAAGTTAATAAGTCGGGTGCAGTTTATACTATAACTTTTTAACATAGATAAAAATTCGGTCACAGTTTACACTATACCTTTTTAACATAGATAAAATGTCGAGCGCTGTTTACAAAAAAAAAGATCATTTGGGCGCAGTTTATGTATGTACAATAGTATATATTAAGCAATTTTTTTTTTTTTTTTTTTGATTTTCATGGCTAACGAAGTTAAACACATTCATGTGTGGTAAAAAAGAGTGGGTCACGAGTTAAAAAAGTTGAAGACCACTTATTAATAGTACTTAAAAAAAACTTGTCATTTTGTAAACAAAATTATTAAGAACCTTTTCTTTTATATTTAGACTGTTTACAATTGTCTCCACAATAAAAAGAGAATAAAATTATAAATAAAATGTTTAAATGATGAAGCAAAAAAAAAAACATAGCGAATATTATGTTAGGCTGTTTAATGGAGAAAATGTGTGATATATTGTACGATTAGTAAAGTTAAGAAATATTACGATTGTTTGCGTTTTAGAGAAAATTTGAGGTAATGGAAAGCGAACATTGCAGAACCTTTTTTAGTTAAAAACAAAGTTTGAATGGTGGACGTACTTTAATTCTACAGTTCACTGTGATTGTATATTTCTAACTTAATTTTCCAATCACCTTTACACATTATGAAAATATTTTATTTTTAACGTTTAAATGGATTATTAATTTTTTAAAAAATTACGTTTGATTTCTTTTGATATTTAAATGTGTTAATTTCCACAATATTATTATTTGGAGTTTTTAAATAATGGTAGTTGTAAGTTCGCTAAATTCTGTTATTTAAATTCTAGTATTTATTATTTAAACATAATTTCAATCTGCTTTCTGATTTCTGGCCGGATTATTATTTGTGGTACCAAGGAGTACTTATCAGAGCATTTAGAACAATGATTTAAGTATATCTTTAATCATGTTCAGAATAGTGGCAGCGCCAAGATTTTTTGCTAGGTATGGCCAACGGGAGGCCAACAATTTTTAAGGTAGGGCCACCAAAAATGAGATTTTAACAAAAGATAAATACCATTATTTAATATTTTCTGCTGATGAAAAATTACTATATTATTATGTCTAAGGTCAGGTCAGTGGTAGGGCCATTAGTAGGTTAGGTTATTTTCAGGTAGGGCCATGGTAGAACCAAGTAGGATCGAGTAGTTCGTGAGTTTATTCAAAAAGTTGATTCTTTTAAGTGAACCGAAAGAGTTGTATAAGTGTACCATAATACAATAATGTTACCCTCAAATATATATTTAATGTATATGTATAACTGTGGTGTTATCTCCGAATTCTTATATTAAATTATCATAGTTACTGATATAATGTAATTATTTTGTCAGATTGTGACTTGTGTCAATTGAATTATGTAGTTCATTGAATTGGTGATTCATAATTATCTAAAATGAAATATATAGTTAATAAGAACTTATTAATTATTTGAATTAGGAGTTTTCTAAAAAACTGAAATACTGAATTAAATCACTGAAATGAACAGAGACAAGTGAATTGAATCATTAAATTGAATCAGTTCCCTCTAGAACCAAGGCGCATAAATACAGTAAGCACGTTGATTCATTATCATAATCATTTAATTGGCAAACATACTGTCCACGAGAATGCGCTAGAAATCGAATAACTGATAACAGATTCATTACCAAAGAGTTAGATGTTATTGATGTTAGTCTTCCTGTTCATACAGATTAGTATTTTAAATTGTCCCGTCGTAACAATTCCGTAAATATTTTCAAATCGATGACATCCATTTCTTCAAAAATGTAAATATAACGGTGAGTTGAACGCTTTAGGTTTTTAAATTACCATATTATTTAATGTAAGAACTATTTTAAAATATATATGATAAATATCCAACAATGTCGGCACTCAGCATCAACATCAATTGTAATTGCAGACAATGCATGGCAATTAGTCACTAATTTATTTAATTTGTGTTTCGTAGTGTTCAATATTATAGTTATCAAGAGGACCCGATTAAATTTGGTATGTTTTCTTAGAATGCATTCAATGTTATTATAATATATTTTAGAAACCACATTTGATTTCTAAAATTAATGGCCTTTGGCTTCTGTCCGTTTTATTTTTAACTAGATTTCATGTAAAGCTAATTTTTTTTATTACTGATTTCTATTGGTTAGCATTTTTAAGAAATTAAAAATATCATAAAGTTCATTTTAATTTTTATGATTAAGAAGTTTACTGAAGAAAGTTGTTATTGATTATTTTTAGAAAGGCTTTTTTTCAAATTACTTTGTAGAAAATAATATTACTGTAACATAGATTTGATTTTAAAAGTTATTAGCCGATTTTGGTATATTGTGTTCTATTCAGAATCATATTTTAAAATAATTGTATTAATATTTGAAATTGTACATTATAATCCTATACCAAAGTGAGTAATACTAAGACAAGTTCCAGCATACAAATCTATCTATCTATTGTTTCTTTTTTTCAGAACTATTGGCCAACAATGGTAGAAACGTTCTATTCTGCATGTTATATCCTTAATAAACAAAGAACTTCTAAGTGTCAGTATGATTTCGAAAATGAACAAATCCAAAAAAGTATGCTATTATTTATTTTATCTAAAACTAATTAATAAATATTATAAAAATAATATTTCTGTTAATATATATATATAATATTTTTATTTTAGTTAGCATGTAACATATTTTGCAGGTATTACATTTATTTGCATTTATAATTTATCTTATCTGTTATTTACTTATGTGTTTTTTTTACAAATTAGTCTTACTTTAAAATATATAATTGTTCATTAGAAAAAATATTCTAATTTTTAATTATAATTTGCTCTTAGTTTTATATAAATTTATTTGAGTTTAGTTGAAACATATATATTGTGTTTAATGACTTCATGTTAACTAAGGCAATTTTGTGTTAATTATTTCTTCTATTGCTTTATGTATTGATTATAATATTTTTTGAAACCATTGTTTTTGTAATATAACTTAAATATATTGATTCATTTTAATTAGTTTTACTTAAATCTTGTCATTTACAGTTATTAAATTCATATAAATTCTAAATTAATAATAAATTTGTCGTATAGAGGTTGAGTTTTATTATTTTCTGTCTCATAATAATATATTTACTTAAAAAATTTTAATACAATCAAACATGTGTTAAACTTGATTTATTCTTCCTTTCATTTTTCGTTTAATGACATAGTAACTATCATATTTATCCTTTAGAGTCATGCTCGGAGTTGGGTTGAAGCATCATTTCACAAAAGAGTTTGTGTAACATTTATCCCAACCAGTACTGATAAAACAAGGTAATTTTTTTTAACTCAATGAATTTCTCTAGTTATATTGTAATTTTATTTGATATTAGATGTAGTTGTGGGCTTTCCTTAACATACCACTGTGGTGGAGGTAGTGGCTCTGTTCAATTAGATCCTGATAATCCAAATGAAGTATGGTCTTCCCTGAAACATACAGTACTTTCACCTACAGATGCTTATGGAACAATTGAATTTCAAGGTGGACCTCATCCTACCAAAGCGCAGGTTAACTATAATAAAGTATATACTGATGATTTATAATTATTAAAAAATTGTTCTTTAGTATGTTAGATTATCACATGATACACGGCCAGAAATAATATTACATTTATTTACTCGAGAATGGGGTTTAGAATTACCTAAGTTATTGATAACTATTCAAGGTGGAAAAGCCAATTTTGAAATACAACCAAAATTAAAGAAGGTATTACGCAAAGGATTATTGAAAGCTGCAAAAACAACTGGTGCTTGGGTGTTTACTGGTGGAACAAATACTGGTAATTTTAGTAATGGATATTAAAAAAATATATAGTGTATAACATATTCTTAAAAATATTAGTAAATATTATAAACGTTTTTAGGTGCTACTCGTCAAGTAGGAGATGCACTCTTACTTGATTCACAGCGCCCAGGTAGAGTTGTATCCATTGGTATTGCACCATGGGGTATAATTGAAAACAATCATGAGCTCCTTGGTCATAACAAGGATATTCCTTATCATTCTATATCATCGCCTAGATCAAAATTAGCTGTACTTAATAATAGGCATACATATTTTCTGTTGGTCGACAATGGGACTTCAGGATTTTATGGAGCAGAAATTGAACTGCGTAAAAAATTGGAAAAATATATTGCAATTCAAAAACTTCATCCAAGTATTATTTATAATATATAATATTTTTTTACTTTTATATTTTTAGGATTTTATTTTATAAATATTTTTGTCTTACGAGTTTTTATTTTTTATAGGTGCACATTATAGTACTCCTGTTGTCTGTTTAGTGATTGAAGGAGGTACTCATACAATAAGAGCTGTGTTAGAATATGTTTCTGATACTCCTCCAGTACCAGTAGTTGTATGTGATGGTTCAGGAAGAGCAGCTGATTTAATAGCTTTCACACACAAGTAAAAATTTAACATCGCTTGAAAATTTATTCATTTGCTTTTTAAGTGTTAGTAATTAGACAAAAATGAAAAGGTGGCCTCTACCTTTTGAATCAGATATGCAGTAGACTCTGGAGAGCAAAGTGTTATTGAGAACATGAAAGAATATCTATTAAATACCATTCAGTGTTCATTTGAAGTTGGACAAGATAAAGCTGAACTCTTATATGAAGAACTTTTAGAGATAACTAGATATAAACATATGGTAATTGTAAAATTTAATGTAATTAAGTTGTTAAGATATTTTTATATCTCAATATTATAGATTACTGTTTTTCGAGTAACCGATGGGCAAGAAAAAGCACAAGAATTAGATCAAACTATATTAACAGCATTATTTAAAAGTCAACATTTATCTCCATCAGAACAGTTAAGTTTAGCACTTACTTGGAATCGTGTTGATATAGCTAAATCTGAAATATTTGTTTATGGACAGGAGTGGCCAGAAGGTAAGTGCCATTTCTACTATGAAAGTATTAATTAATTTTTAATTCAATCAATTGTTTAAATTTTGCTTGTGCATTTATTTTTCTACAATGTCATCATATGCTATGTATGCTTTTTATTCACAAGGGTTATATATTTATAAATAAAAATATTGTCTCTTGATTTTGTAAACTATTTTATTAATTAGTAATTAAAATAAATATTGACTTATTGTTTAATAGGAGCTTTAGAAGAGTCAATGATGCAAGCTTTAGAACATGACCGGATTGATTTTGTGAAATTATTATTAGAAAATGGTGTTAGTATGAAGAAATTTTTGAGCATATCTAGGCTAGAAGAATTATACAACACTGTGAGTTACATAGTTAAATTTTCCAATAACTTTTTTTCTTTTATTTCACTGGTTCCTGAATTCTTCTTATATAAAATTAGTTATAAGTATTTTATTATTTTATTTTTTAGTTGTGACACCTTATTAGTAATATCTTTGAATTATTTTCTGATATATTGAAAAAAAAAAAACTAATAGAAAAAAGCTATAACCACCAATTATCTTTAGAATACTTTGAAACTTATTATTATTAAATTAAATGTGTTCATCAAAGATTAACCAAAATTATACAGATTACTAATTTTACATTTTCTATTTTTATATTATCAAATAATTCATTTATAATGTTGATTTTAATGCTTTTAAATTTTACCATTTAGCAGGATAAGCATACTAATGTTTAACAGAATATTAGCACAATGACAGTAGACCTCGAAAAGCAATTTGTTATACATCAGTAGTTACCTTATTTGTATGAATAAAATGAATTCCAATGTCAAATAAATACAATACCCCAAAAATAATTATTTTGCATTTTGATTTATAACAAAAGAATCACACAATTTAAATATTTAAAAAAAAAAGCATGTTATTTAAAGCTTATTTCTCTATACATTTTGTGTAGAGGCTTTTATAAATCAATTTAAATATTATTAATGATAATAAAAATAGTTTTTGCTTTGTGCGTATAAATTATAAAATAAATATCATTGTAGTAAAAATATTGATTTAGTTAAATATATATAAATATATCAACCAACATAAAATATCAATCTCAATTTTACCTAGTATTATTGTTTGATTTATTTCTTTTCAGAAACAAGGCCCAACCAACACATTAGGATATATATTACGGGATGTTCGACCTCATATCCCTCAAGGCTATATGTATACATTGCATGACATAGGATTAGTAATTAATAAATTAATGGGTGGTGCATATAGGTAAAAATTAAATTAATTGTTTATGTATTTTATTTATTGATTTAAATTTTTAAAATAGAGCTCAGTATACCAGGCGCAAATTCCGTACAATGTATGCTCAAACACGTCGTTTAAATAACATGCATAGAAACAGCGCTTCATTTACACGCTATTATGGAAACAATTTAACATTAGGTGTTTTAGCTGATTCTGAACATTCAGAAGAAGAATCACTTTTTGAATATCCATTTAATGAGTTATTAGTATGTACTTCATTATTTATATAGTTTTATTTATTATTTGAATATTTGTGGTTTGGTATTTCTGAACCTGGGAAGTAAGATTGATATACTTAAAACTAATTTTAATTAAATTTCCTCAATATATAGCTATTTTTTCAAAATAAAGTATATGTATTCTCATGTTCATGTTTGATTTAGAAATAGGGGTTACTCAAAAGAGGTTGGGAATTACTTTTATACATTTTTAACCAAATTATAAAAATTTGTTGCAAACTTATAATGTGTGGTGTTCTAATTGTATTATAATATTGTAAAAATCATTTGATATAGCATAGTAATAATAATATTTATTATTGAAATTTACATTAAACCATTTTTATTGTTTTATTTTAAAATAATTATTCAATTTTTAAGTATCTTAAGTACAATTTTAAGTATTAATTATTAAATTCACTATACTTATAAATAAGGCTATTCAGAATTTTTAAAGTTATATTTAAATCGTCCCTAAAAATAGTTAAAATTTTAAGGAAATCATCTTACAACTAGTTAATAATTATTTTTTCTTTTCCCCTAGTTAATTCATTAATGCCTTGAAATTTAAATTAAAGATTTTAATTTGAAACGAACAGTAATTTTTAAAATTGTTATATCTTATGTCTAATATATACTTATGTTTTTTTAATTTTAGATATGGACAGTTTTAACTAAACGTCAAGAAATGGCATTATTGATGTGGCAACATGGTGAAGAAGCATTAGTTAAATCACTTGGCGCTTGTAAGCTCTATAAAGCTATGGCACACGAAGCAGCTGAAGACGATTTAGAAACTGAAATATATGATGAATTACGAAATTATGCCAAAGTATTTGAAGACATCTGTATGTACATAAATAAGTTAGTTTAAAATATTGATACAATTATAATATTAAAGTATGAACTTAAAACTTAATTTTAGCACTTGAATTATTGGATTATTGTTATCGTCAAGATGATGATCAAGCCCAACAATTACTCACAGTTGAGCTTCAAAACTGGAGTGGTCAAACATGCCTTAGTTTAGCTGTAGCAGCAAATCATAGAGCATTGCTTGCTCATCCTTGTAGTCAAATTATTCTTGCTGATCTGTGGATGGGAGGTCTGAGAACAAGGAAAAACACCAATATCAGGGTATAATTGTTAATAATTTAAAAAACCTTTTACTATGTTAATTCTTATAAATATTTGGTTATAGATATTATTAGGATTATTATTTCCACCATATATATCAAGGTTAGAATTTAAATCTCGAAAAGAATTGCAGTCAATGCCTCAAACTGAAGAAGAACATTTGTATGGATTGGAATTAGAGGAGGAAACAGAAAGTGTTGAAGAAGGTGGTGTAAATCGGTCACACTTAAATCTTGTGGAAACAAATTTAGATGTATGAATCAAAGTATTATTTAACTCAAATATGTATTAATTAATGCTACAATATTTCAGGGGATAACATCTGCCACAGATGGTGAGACGACAGAGAATGGTACAATGTTACCAAGTGTTTCTATGAGTACTCATAAACATCCTGATTATGAACAAAAGTGTGTTACTCCTTCATATGAGTATAGTGTATTTGATTTAAAGAGACAACGACCATTGCCATTACGGCGTAAAATTTTTGAATTTTATACTGCACCAATAACAAAATTTTTAGCGAATTCTGTTAGTATTATAACTAATATTAAATAATGGTTATTTGTTACGTGATTCCAAATAATATACTTAATTTTATAGGCTGCATATTTTGTGTTTTTGGTACTGTTTACATATGTGGTACTGGTCCGTATGGAACAAACTCCATCTTGGCAAGAATTGTATGTTATAGCTTATATATGCACATTTGGTTGTGAAAAAATAAGAGAAATTGTTTCTTCTGAACCCACCAGCATAAGGTAAAATTTAAATTATTTTTATTCAACTAATATATTTATTTACTTTTTGTTTTTAGTGATAAGTTTTCGGTTTGGGCATGGAATATGTGGAATCCATGTGATGCTGCAGCAATAATATTCTTTCTCATTGGTCTTTGTTTAAGATTACAACCATCATCACAGGCTATTGGGCGAGTTATGTTTTGCACAGATATTATTTATTGGTATTTACGAATTCTAAATATACTCGGTGTTAACAAATATCTTGGTTAGTAAATATCAAATAACTTTAGTAATATATTGTAATAAAATAAAAATATATTTTAATTCTTCAGGGCCACTGGTAACAATGATGGGTAAAATGATCAAAAATATGCTGTACTTTGTAGTACTTTTACTCGTAGTACTTATGAGTTTTGGAGTAAGCAGACAGTCGATTTTATTCCCAGATGAGGATCCTGAATGGATTTTAATTCGACAAATATTTTTACAACCTTATTTTATGTTGTACGGAGAGGTATACATATTATTATGTCTTCGATCTGCAAGGATACTTAAAATAAAATTGTTTAGGTATATGCTGATCAAATTTATCCAGTATGTGATGAATCATCTGGTATGACTCATTGCCAAACTGGCCGATGGGTTACACCTTTAGTAATGGCCATGTATTTATTAGTTGCCAATATTTTACTAATTAATCTTTTAATTGCAGTATTCAACAACATTTTTAATGATATAAATGCTATATCTCATCAGGTAATAAATAATTAATAATCTAATAAAAACTAAATGCCAACCATGGTTAAAATAATATTTACTTACATTAAGTTTTCATTTAAGGTAATTTGGTGTTTTAATGAAGTGTAAGAACTGTTCTAATTATAAAATTTACTTTGTAGTTAATTAATTTTATTAAAACATGATTTACATTGTTTTCTTCTTATTTGAACACATTATTATTATTATTATTATTATTATTACATTTATTATATGTGAAGAAAATTAATTAATTAATCAATCAATTTTTTCTAAACGCTGTGTAGGGGTTTTGTAGCTTCTATCAAGTCTTTTGAACAATTTCTGTTTTCTAAGTTCTCCATTCTTGCTGAATTATCAATCCTTATTAAATTATTCGTTAACTGATCCATCCATCTATGTCTCAGTCTTGTGGTCTCTTTCCAACTGGCTTATTTATTAGGGCAATGCTTCTAGGATCTTGGTTTGATTTCCATACACACACACACACACACACACATATATATATATAATATGCATATGAATGCAGATAAAAGAAAATTTAGGATATTCGATCTATTGAATAGTTTTCCAATATCTGATTTTTTTTTCTGCTTTCTCTCTGTTATCTGGGTTTCTTATAGACTTGTATATTTCTTTCAAACCTCAGTAATTTTTCTTCATCACCTTTTGTTGTTAATCATTTTTTGCATCTGTATATGGTGATTGAGCAGAGGTACGTAGTCAAGAGTTATACTTTGGATTTTTTTGATAGTTATCTTGATTTAAACATCATATTGATGGCAAAGTATCCCCGATTTGCTTATGATTCCTGAGATTTATTTCATTATGCATATTATTGTTAACGTTTATATTTATACCTAGGTATTTTAAATTATCTTCTTGTTCAAAGATATATTGGCTTATATCAATATTTTTCGAATCTCATACAAATCATATAAAATCAAAAATGCATGTGAAAGATTCATTTGTGATATCTCATGGAATCCTTGGATCTCTGAACATCTTTTTTTTTATTCAATTCTCAAGCTTTACATATTATAATTAAAAGTTTTATGAATTTTTACTACAAAAATGTTGAAGGTTTTATTAAAATTATAAATTCAAATGTTCTAATATAATTAAATAGAAGAAGGAATTTAAGTATTCAATATTTTTGTATTTCTCCTAACTATTTGGATTTGGCCACTTTTACCCTAAATCTCCATTCATTTTGATTTTCTACATCCCCTACCTAACACTACTTAACCCAACACCAATAGTCTTTATGTTCTCAATCATATTCAACCATCTATTTTTTGGTCTTCCTCTTCCTCTTTTCTGTTTAATGTTCATTTTCATTACCATTCTTACTACTTTTGTTTCCTCTTGCTTCATCACATGCCCAAATTATCTCGGCCTGTTTTCTCTTATCTTGTTCACTATCAATACTATACTAATACTATCTCTCACGTATTCGTTCCTTATTCTATCTTTTCTTGTCACTCCAGTTATCCATTCTATAATTCTATAATATAGCATTCTATAAGCATTTTATATTGTTGCAAATATATATAAATTTAAAAATAAAAGAGATTTATCGTTTTATTTAATTTTTATCACAAATAAATAAAATTTATTTTCAATTAGTTTTAAATGTAACAATAATAATTTTAGATGTAAAACATACATGTTTTATATCTTAAGTGAAACAAGAAACGTATTAGTTTTTTTATACAATGATAGTTTTATTTTCCGGTGATTAAATTTTATGCTCCAAATTTTTTACTGTTATCTACTAAATATTATAATTATATTTAATTAATAATAAATCTAAATTATGTAATCTCTAAAAATATATTTTTATATAATTAATATAAAGATAAAATGTAATTAGTATTAAAATTATATTTGTGTGATAGACATAAAGTGGTAAAATTTTATATAATTAATAATAATTTTTTTAGGTATGGATGTTTCAAAGGTTTACTGTTGTTATGGAATATGAACAAAAACCATCGCTTCCACCTCCTTTAATATTTTTTTGTCATGTATTTTTACTGGCTAAGTATCTGTGTCGTAAAATTCGAGGTATTCAAGAAACTTATGATAATGGGTTAAAATTATTTTTGTGTAACGAAGAATTAGAACAGCTATATGATTTTGAAGAAGAATGTGTTGAAGGATATTTCCGTGAGAAAGATTTTAAAATACAAATGTCTATGGAAGAACGAATTAAGATGTCTTTAGAAAAAATGGAACATATACAGCAAAAAGTAGATGATATTAATCAAAAGGAAAATACACATAGCACCTCAGTACAAGTATATTCAGTTTTTTTTATATAGTTCGTTCATTTTATATTTTAAGACTAATTTATAAAATAAATTTCAGGCTTTAGAATTTCGTCTCCATAAAATAGAAGATTTAATGGATCAAACCTTATCTACTTTAGGAGTAATACACCGATTCATGGCAACACAAAATGGTGATCAAGATAGTGGTAGTAGTAGTGACAATGCTCAAAAAAGAAGTAATTCATATGAACCAGATTTTGATTCTGATCCAAAAATTCTTCCAATAACTGGTAGAACAAGATGTATTAGTGAACGATCAGACTTGTTATCAGATATATCTGATGCTTTACCAACTGCATATCGTAGAAAAAAAAAGTATTCATTTAATGAGAAACGCCCTTCAAACTTTTCTGATAGTAATTTTTTACTATCACAATTTGATGGTGTTTCTTCATTTAATGATAAATCCGCTATGGAACTGTTTAATTATGAAAATCGTCGGATGTCTCTTAACTCAGCTAGAACATTAGATAGAAAGTATGATACTGAAAGCACTTTATCTCCAGATTTTAACAGCAAAGAAGTTGATGATATTGATAGTGGTGAAGCTGATAAAGGTGGTAGTGGTGATCCGGCTAGATCCAGTGTAGATCGTACAAACTGGGTGGAACCACTTATAAAAGTATTTCCTCCTACACCAAGCAGACAAGTTTACTCAAGGTATATTTTTATAAAATTGTTTATAATTAATCAGTTTATGTATATATTTATTTATTTTAAGTTAAATATCATTAGTACTTGAAAATCAATTAAGATAAGTTGTTGTTGTTTTAGTCTTAGTTTATCTTAATATTTATTTTTGAATTTATCTTGCCTTTCTTCTCTTCTCCTGGTATTTAACTTTATGGTTGTTTTCACAGTTGGACATGCACTCTTCATCCTTCACTGCTTCCAACTAACCTTTTCTGTTCCGTGAAGCTTGACAGTGTATTGGAGATCATTTGCTCAACAAATGAAGTTCTTGGATGTCCTTGATCTTTCCTATCTTAAATTTTCCATTAAATTATTCTATAAATCAGTTATTTTTTGTGTCTCAATATGTGACCAAATCATATTACATTGTCTTGCTTTGATGGTTTGGAATATCTTTCTGAGTTAATTTATTTAACTGAGTATACTTTTGTTGATATGGTGTTCTATCCAACTCAATCGCGGTATTCTTCTTCAATACTAAATTTCAAAGCTTTCGAGAATTTGTTGTTCCGTCTTAATTAGTATCTAGATTTTGTAGCTGTATAGTGCCTAACTCCATACATATACTTTTATAAAGTGTTTCCTCGCCCCTATACTCATACTATTAAAGCATAAAAATGTTCTTTTATTTATGAACTTTGACTTTAGGTATGCGATTTTGGAACTTATTTCTATGCTGCATCTGCTATCTTGGTTAATTGAGCTGTCTAGGTATTTAAAATTTTCCTTCCACTAGTTTAAAGAGCCAATTTCCAGCTCGGTTATTAATTTTACAGATTCATTTGGTCTAATTGTTGGTACATCATAATTTTTTTGCCAGTTGTTAATTGAATGCTATTTTTGGTAGCATCTCGCCATCTATTCTAGTACTTATTCCAAACCATGCTTGTTATTTGCTAAGAGTGCAATATAGTGGTCTAAATTGATAATCTCAAAAGTTTTATTTTGTAAATCTTGAAATTTGGATATTATTTATTTATTTTTTTTAATCAAACATAAAATAATCAAGATTTAAATCTAATAGCAATGCCAATTATAATAGTTAACATATATATATAAGTTTAACTTTTTATAAATCAAAGAAAAACATAATTTTCATTTTAGGAAAATTATTTTTAAAATAAAAGAAACCCAAGTTATTATTGATTGATTAGATATTAGCGGTAAAATTATATAATATAAAAATACCATAAAACCACAAAATATTCGAAATAATCATCATCAACTTTTGTTAGTTATAATTTATTTTTATAAAGTATATAAAAATTATGTTTCATTTTAGAAAGCTTAAAATATATTTTGTAATTTTGAAGAAAAAATCTTTTCCAATTTTTTTATGATTAAGCAAAAATAAACATCTATTGGATGGTAAATGGAAAAAAAGTTTCAGAAAAAAAAGTCCTCGGTGAAAAAGTTTCCGGTAAAAAGGTCCTTCGAAAAAAAAAAGTCTCTCGTTACAGTATAAATAAAACTATATTTCCATTATCATTGTTATTTTATTTATGAAATAAATTTGGTTGAAAAATCTTATCTGTAGATCAGGTATACATATACCTATCATACGTATTCAGTTTCGTATTAGTACCGAACATGTTATGTAAGCATTTTGATTAGGAAAAATCTGCAGATATTCCTGATTTTTTAAAGCAAGTAGGTCAAAATATAAGAAAGAGATATTTTATATCTGTATAATTGCACTGTTATATTTTTTAAATAGGTAATATAGATATTACGATATTATGTTATTATATTATATTGTATGTTATTGCATATTATATTTTGTTTGTGCATAAAATACTGAATTTAAATCAAATATTAATTTGGAGACTTTTTTCCAGGAACTTTTTTTCTTAATATCCTATTAGATATGCCAATCTCTTTTTTAACATAATTTTTATCATAAGCATTACGTTTATTCTTGTGTAGGAACATAGTTACATTTTCAATAGATATTTTTACATTAATGGTATAATTTGTTTATTGTTTTATAATAAATAAGTTAAAAACTATGTGTAACTTGTTTCATTATTCTTATTTAATATTCACTTAGCTTATTATCACCACATTGTGACCTTTCACCCAACCGAGGGAATACACCTGTACCCCGTATCAGGCATGCATCAGAGATGTCAAATCCAGAAATTGCTAGATACTTAGAAAAAGAACATCTTAGAGATGCAGAAGAGAATGATTACCACCTGATGGAAGGTCTTATCAAACAACATAAACGACTTCCATCAAATACAATTGATATACCAATCTATAACCGTAGTGATAATGTAAGAAAAATGTTGTTTGATGTATCTACTTTAATATACTTAAATAATATTTTACTCAATTTTAGACAATTCGTCTTCAAACATGTACAGATATTGATCCCAGTGAACCAGTTATTAATACAAATACTAATTCTGCAGAAAGCTCAACATCCTATAATCAGCTCAATGGTATGTCTTCCAAAAATTGTGATTAAACCAAATATTATGTTTAAAACATAAGATACCAATTAAATAGTGATTAGAGTATATTTTATTCTGTTATAAATTATTCTTCATTTGGGCTCGAATTTGAATCCAATAGTGTACTTAAATTAAAATTACTCTATTGTATTCTTATTATTGAATTTTTTTGATTTTTTTTTTTTTTTTTATAACAATAGTAATTTGTATACTGAAAAAGTTACCTATTCTACATTTTTTTTACGTATAATGACTATTTAAAATTTTTAAATTTAGTTACATTTTTATTTGATAATCTATTTTTTCTGTGCATATTAAATTTTAAAACATTGAAGTATATATATTTTTTAATGTTGGCTATCTAACCTAAAAATGTTAGTTCATTAAAATATTGTTTCATAGTTATATGATATTGATCAACAGTTTGTATTGTTGTTTTTTCTTATATTCATTTTTTATTAATGTATATTGAAATCAGTTTCATTTTATTTAGATAATACTTTATGTGTCTTCTAAGTCGAGTATATTACATTTGAGTTTAATGTGTTATGGTAAAATTTTTAATGTGATCAAAGAACAAATTTTTGGCTAAGTAACAAAGTGCCTTGTCTGATTTTGGTTTCAATCACTTAAACCCTTCATTTATTGAACCAAATCACTAAGAGATATGAATTATTTGATTTTTAAAACTTAGAGGACTGTCAAAAATCTGACAGATATCAGACAAGAGGAATGTCAAGTAATAAGAGATCATTATCGAATGTACTCATTTAAGACTTACGTGGGTGATGAGAAGAAGATAACTCAGAAAAAAAGAAAAAGGTTTAGATTTCTTCTCAAAAAAGACAGCGAATCATAGTAGGCAATGGTATCTACGTTGCGGACAAGTCTAGCTTATGCCTCATTCAGAAACTGGCCAAATGTTAAACAATACAAAGAAAAGAGCAGTGTTGCTCTTTAATGTAGGAGTGTAGTGAGGTTATGAGTTAAAAAATACCAGACTTGGCCACAATGTAGATTTCATTAACTTAATAGGCCGACTTTTTTGGGAGGGAGTTTGGAACTTGGCCTTTTTTCACTGTTAGGTTTTTTTTTTGGGATATTATTCACTTAATAATATACGTATTTATTGAATATATTAGAATTTATATATATATTTTATAAATTATTCTGTAAGATGTAATATAAAAACGATTAATAAATACAACAAACGCAATAGAAGAATATAAAAATAAAAAATTTTTAAAAATAACGTTTTTAAAAAAAGTATGCCATAATTATTTGAAATAATAAATAATTAATAGAATTATAAGAAATATTTGACTTTATAAATATTAGAGGTGGGTCAAAGTCAAAAATATGGTCTCAAACCGATCTTTTTAGTATTATGTCGAACTTCAACCTAGCATTTTATTCCGAACACTGTGGAGTTATGTCAAATCAAAATACTTATTTAGTAATAACTAATTTAATACTATTCAAATTTTAATTTTATTCAAGTTTTTTTGGTTCATACATTTTAATTTAAATTTTAGAATTATAGTATTATACATTTATATTTTTTTATATTAATATCTCTTTTATACAGAGTAAAATTGTTAGGTAGGTACCAATTGTTTTAAAAATTAAAAAAGTGTAATAAAATGATTTCAAAATTGTAAACCTTACAAATTATGCAAATTTAAAAGATCTAATATGTTATTCATAACTCTTATTCTTTAATTTATATTTTATAATACCAAACATAAATTTAACTTTAACAGTGTTTAATTAATAATAAATAATAAAATATTAATTACTACTCGTAAATTGTTAGACAAGTAATTATAAAATAAAAAGTAAATAATTATTATTAAGCAATATTATAAATTATTATATAAAAATACAAGATACTCCACTAAAAATGGAGATAGACGTGTTCTTCTTGAGGATACTGTTAGAAACTACTTCTAGAAAACAGTATTTCACTACAAACCGATGTACCTGGTATACCTAAAAATTTTAAAATCACTAGTAGAAATCATGGAAATGTTTGATGATTGTTTTAAATAGTACAAAATAACAAAACCAAAATAATTATTCAAGTTTATAAATAATTCAATAGCACAAGAAATAATCAATGCCCCGTAACGTTAGACATGTTAGAATATATTGCTGTTCGTACATTTATTGAGTTCGAACTATTTTAATTTTCGAACTATTTTATTCGCGTTCGGTTTGGTTCGATTTTTCGAGCTTCGAACAGTTCGACCAACCTCTAATATATATATATACAAATTAAATTATAAAATTCAATTGAAGTTCAAAAATACGAATCTGAAAATTAAATCAAACAATTTTTAGGGGGGTCAATAAGAACCGCCTCCCATGGTGGCCCCTGGGTAACTCTAAATGGTTCTCAAACTATAATTTAGACAGTTGCGTAAAAATAGATTTGGCGGAAACGACTGACGTCCATAGCATCATCATAACAATAATTCCGAGAACCCATTATTTCGCGTACGCGCATGTTCAAGTCAATATGCACCACATAAAATTTAATTTTGTTAGACTAGACTAGAGACTATAAAAATTGCCAAAAGGAAATTAAATCTACCCGATTTCTCAATGATTGATTTTAATTTTGAAAAATTTTGGTTTCTTAACATCTTAGCTAGGACAACTAGGAAACACTTTATATATTTTTCTAAAAAAAAAAAAAATATCCACATAATTATAATAAAAATGTAATAATTAAATGTTTTTTATGACTTCTTAGAGGAAAAAATTAAAAATCGGTTTCCTAGTTGTCCAAGCCAAATTGTTTAGAAATCAAAATATTTTTTCCGAATTAAAATCTCTCTACGAAAAGTATATTAAATTTACTTTCACTTTTTGGTCTATATGCATGAAAAATACTACGTGCTTTAACCATAGGCGTAATTGGTTCCTAAAGTTAAGGGGGACGTAAGCCCTAACATGTTTAAAATAAGTAAAAAATGTGGGGAGCTCTGCCCAACACCCCCTCCCAAACTCGTCCCTCAAGTAATATTCATTATTAAATTATAATATTATTTTATTAATATAAAATGTATAAGACAGATAATAAAAAAAGTGATTGGTAAACATTAAAATATTAACATATTTATTAAGTATCATTTTAGATCAGAGTTAAATTTTCTTAAAAATTAAAAACTTAAAGGACTTTTATAACTATTACAGCTTAAGCCTCCGCTCAGTATTGGCAAATTTATTTAAAATTTCGTCTTTGTTTAGAACGTTTGACAAATCTCTTTCAATTGTTATGATTGCTAACTTAGAAAATCGATTTGGTAATATAGTTGACCATATGTAGGTGTTTATTTGACTCATTGTTGAGAATGTTCTTTCACATGATGTAGAACTTGTTAGAACTGCAAGCACTAAATGTAGCATTTTGTATAAATTTAGGAAAACAGATTTTTCAACGATACTCTTTAGCTGCTTTAAATGTTCTTGATTGTTAATGTTTTCCAGTTGATTGTCATAACAATTTTTTGCAACCAAAATATCTGATTTTAAGTCAGTTTCATTAATAATTCGTTACTCGTTAATCGTTACACAAGTTATTAATAATTGTACGTCATTTACGACTATTCTTGTGTTTAATTTATTAATAATTTCTAAGTAATATTTATGTAGTAAAACCTTAAATATAATCAGCGTATTACAATGATGCGTATAACCAAAAAAAAATAAATATTTTTCCAAGATATTAATAAAAAAAAATAAAACGATATTTTAAATTAAAATTAAAAATATAGCTACCATTAGCAAAATTAAGAATTATGACAGGTGGGACTAAAATTCATATTGGGGGGTGCTTAGATTCCCCAAGTCCCCTCTATGACTTTGACTCCCTTAATTTAAATTTTTATAATCAAAAAATACCAAAAATGTTTTTAAAATAAAACAACTATGAGCTTAAAAATTTAAATAGTCTACAATGAATTGGCTTAATAAATATCTGAATTATTCCTTAACCTTTTATGGTTGAGATTTACTCTTCAAATATTTAAAAGTTTATGAAATTTAAAAAAAATTACTTTCAATTTTCGTAAATTGAAAATTAATTGAATTGAAGTATTAAATATCTGTAAAGTATATGTTTCTCAGTTAGGTATCAGGAAATTTATTGGCATGTATATTTTTACTTTAATTTTTACATTTTTAAGTAGAGCATTGTTATTTTGAATCTTTTATCGTTAAAATTATATATTATATTATTATTATTTTAGTGAGTTATCATTTTTACAACGTTCTACCGGTAAAGGTGTTTTTTTTGTTTAAAAAATATGGCAGTATTCACCCTGCAATACATTATTTTAAATAGTTATTCAAATTTAAACTAAAAATATATTTTAAGTATTAATAATACATTTATTGATACATATAAATATACACTTATAATTAAATTAAATATTTTCTTTATATTATGCACTTACTACATATGAAAGTCCCAAGTGTCAAGGAAAAGGCACGATACCTCCAAAAGGAAATGTTTTGTAAAAATGTTTATGTTCTGCACTTGTTATTAACTTATTAACTATTAACTTTGATTGAGATAAACTTAACAAGAGTTGGATATTTATTTTGATTCCCTTCCTCGAAAACAATGTTATTATGTGTAATATAAAAAAAAACCACTTCAATTACTTAAAATAGATTTTATTTTTATAAATTTTAAATTTAAAACCACAAAGTTATTTGTTAGAATGTAAAGTCACTAGTTAAATATAGACTCTACACTTAACTATTATTAATTGTTAATAATAATTTAACTATGATATACCTACGAGTATTTTGCATAAATTTTATTTTTTAATTTTTGTATTTTAATTCCTCTGTTTTATATGCTCGAGATGTTAAAATCACTAGTGACGAACCCACTTCCCGCAGGTTTTTATGTACTACAAGTTATATATTATTATCAAACGTCTTATGGGGGTGTTACACGAAAACTTTTAACTTTAAAACGAATAATTTTTGTTAGGTATTATATTGTAGTATTAAATAATGATATTCGAATATTAGAATAATTCCCATCGCTAGTATAGAGTCATATGTTATAAAAAAAAAACTTAAACAGAGAGCCAGCATATTTTTTGGATGGAAATATCTCTGTAAATATACAATTTTTGTCCTTAATTTTTTCCTATTTTAGTATAGATTGTCTCGGGCTCAGACATTTCACCGCGATCGTCTCTCCGCTATCCTATTTTTTTTCGTATAACGTCAATAAAAAAATATTGGTTGGCCATAACATTTTAAAATGTTGATACAATGTTTTCCTCACATTGTTTTTACTCATGTGAAAAAAATTTCAAAAATCCACAGTTACAATTTTTAAAAATAAGCGTTTGAATTTGAAATTTTGATAAAAATCACGAAATCTGCCTATTTTTGGTACTTTAAAGTTGATATACATTCCAATATTTATACTTATGTAAGATTTAAAAATGTAATACAATGAAGTTACTCTTTCCAGCGAACTAAAAAATTTTACCGGAGCAGAGAAAAAAAATGTTATAAGCGTTAGAATATTATATTTTGATGAAATCTAATGTTACTAGATTAGTTAATAATAATTACTAATTACCGATTTACTAATTAATTAGTAACATTACATAATATGTATATTATAACACTTTTGCGCGGCTCCGGTAAACTTTTTTGGTTCGCTGGAAAGAGCACTTCTCTTGTACCTACATTATATTATGTGTGAAAAACATTATAACAAAATTTTAAAATGTTATGGCTAACTAATATTTTTTTATTGACGTTATATGAAAAAAAATAGGATAGCGGAGAAACGATCGCAGTGAAATGTACTAGACCTAGGTAATCTTATTAGAAAATAAAACAGAAATAATTTATATATTTTTTTTTTTTTGCAACCAGTCTTTTTATTGGTATAGAAAATTACAATCTGTGAAGTGTTACACAATAAGCAATTATGATAATAAAAGTACAACAGTGACATGAAAACTTGAATAGGAAGTGGCCCACTGGCCACACCTACAATATTACTATTTGTTATTTACAATTTTTTTTTTTTTTTTTTATTATTTACACCCGTATTACAATAACACAGGATCTAGTAGGTCACGAGGCCAGTCCCTGTTAAGGCGGCGGGTGATATTGTTTGGAATTGTTGTGGTGGACATTTGATGAATTAGTGGATTAGGGTGATCTTTTAGTTTGTTGTGGAATTTTTTGTAATGGTTAGTTGCTAGTTCTTTGATAGTTGGTAGTTGAAGGTCTTTATGAAGATTTTGATTTGTAAAGTACCAGGGGGCATTTGTGATGATTCTTAGAGCTATTGATTGGAAATATTGTAATCAGTGGCGTAGCCAAGGGGAGGGGGGGCTAAGGAGGCTATAGCCTCCCCCATGGGCCGTGTTTATATGTATAATGTACCTTGACTATTTAATAGAACCAATGCTCGTTTTAATCAAAGGCATATTGATGTTGTGCCACTTGAAGGACTTATTCCGGCCAATTTAAATATGTATGACGATAAAAATATTATAAAAGCTGCTAAAATATATGTCCAAGATCTCAATGATGATACCTCATCTACAATCAGAGCTGATCTGTTCATATGGAGGCAACAATGGAGTCAAAATACTATTCCAAAACCGAATTCTACTCTTGATTCACTCTCTCATCGCACCAATCTTCGACCTAACATTAAAATACTTTTACAATTATTCGCCACGTTATCAGTTACCTCTTTCACTCCGGAAAGAATGTTTTCAGCACTTAATCGCTTAAAATTTTTTTTAAGAAGCACCATGTCGGAAAACAGACTGAATGGGTTAGCTATGGCTAATATAAATAAAAAAGAGCAATTCGATGAAAGTGAAATAATAACTGAATTTGCCAGAAATTCGCCTAAGAGAATGCAGCTGTCAGAGTAAAGCAAGTGACTGAACACTGAAACCAAAATTATTATTATTATTATAAATTATATATCAACAAATATTTTTAAAACCATACTAAAATGCTTGAATTACGTTTAGAAACTTGGTGGTAGATGGTGGGGAGGGTTAAGGGTGAATTCTCATATCCTCTCTTACCTTACTTATCCAAAAAAAGTGGTTAGCCCCCCCCCTCATTTAAAAATCCTGGCTACGCCACTGATTGTAATGGTCTAATGTTAGATGGTTTGGCAGGTCCCCATATTTGTATCCCGTACGACCAAACTGGTCTGATTAAACTTTTGTATATGAGCATTTTATTTGCTAGGCTGATTTTAGATTTGAGGATGGGACGAAGTAAATGTAGCCGGATATTTGCTTGTTTACATTTAGATTTTGTGTGATGTGACCATATCAATCTTTTGTCTAAATTTATGCCCAGGTACTTTGTCGAAAACTGGATTGGGATACATGTGCCATTTAGAATAAGAAGAGGAATTTCGTTACGTCTTAATGTGAAATTAACTTGTACCGATTTAGTCTCATTGATTTTTATCCTCTTATTGTTGGCCCAGGTAGTTATGAGATTTAAGTGTGATTGTATATATTCAGAAGCTATATTTGCATCAGAGCTCGAAGCTAGGATTGCCGTATCGTTGGCGTAAGTTGCAAGAATAGTATTGTTGGTTGATGGAATGTCCGAAGTATAGACGTTGTAAAGTAGGGGCGATAAATCACTTCCTTGAGGGACACCAGCTTCAATTGAATGTGAAATGGATATGCTGTTATTAATACGTACGGAGAAGGATCTATTTTCTAAGTAGGATTTTAAGATAAGATAGTAAAGTGCAGGTAGAAAATGTTTGAGCTTAAAGAGTAGGCCATCATGCCAAACTCGGTCGAACGCTTGGGAGATATCGAGGAAGACTCCTGGACAGAATTGTTTTTTCTCAAAAGAGGTAGATATGTGATCAGTTATTCTATGTATTTGATGGATGGTGTTATGTTTAGTACGGAAACCAAATTGAGTTGCTGGCAGTATGTTATTTTCGAGGATAATGGTTGTAATACGTTTTAGTAGTAGTTTCTCGAATAATTTACCAAATGTAGGTATCAGGCTGATTGGTCGATAGGATGTAACTAATTGCTTGGGTTTGTTTGGTTTGGAAATCATGACGATAATTGAGTGTTTCCATGTTGGAGGGAAATGTGATAGTATCAGCATGGCATTGAAAATATGGGTTAACAGAAGTATTGATTTTTTTGTAAGATGTTTAGCTATTTTATTAGTGATTAAATCGTGACCTGGGAATTTTTTTGGGTATAACTTGTTAATTGTTGAGAGTATTTCAGATGGAGTGATTGGTTTGGCTGGTAGCGATGTTGGTAGTGGTGCATACAAAAAAGAATGAACTATGTCTCCATGGTTACTGTTTATTAGAGTGGGAGGATGTGGAGTGAAAGTTTCAGATAGCTGGTTTCCAAAGATATTTGCTTTTTCAATGTCGGATGTCGCTAATTCGTTGTTTGAGCATACAAGTGGAGGTATAGTGTCACGTTGGTTTATTAATGCTTTGGTGGTACGCCAGATCGAGCCATCAGATGGAGTTAGAGATTGTAGATGCTATTCAAATTTAGTGGATCTATGTTTGGATAGTTCAGTTTTTAGAGTATATGTTTGCTGGTTAAATACGATTTTGTCAATTGGGTATCTTGGGTTTTGCCAGGTAGCTCTAGTTCTATGCTTGGCTTTTATTAGTTCTATAATGTAGATTGGAAGTGTGTTCAATTTTTTCTTTTGATTTGAAGGATTCAGAGTAACTGAAGATGAGGACGAAGAGATTGAGTTTTGAATGACAGTAGTTAATTGGTTTACTGCGTTATTTATTTGAGCGTGTGTTTTTAATGGGATGTTTAGTGATATTTGTTTATCTAAGATGGGCAAAGTACGGCCCGCGAAAGTATTTAATCCGGCCCGCCGAGGGTCCACCGACATGGATAGTAATGGCCCCCAAATTAGGGTCACAGAGGTTTTCCAGCATTTCTTATAATTTATATATTTTATTTTTTTACATTATAATTTTAATTTAGGAAAAAAATTCCCGAAATATTCTGAAAATGATAGAAGAAAATAGTTTTAAATATATAAATGTATCTGCAGAAATGCAGTGCAGTACCGATTTAAAGCAATTGTTCTTGAATTCCACAAAACTAGATTTTTATAGAGCACTGCAGAAAACCGAATTTCTAAAATAATTGCTCACGCCCAGAAAATTATGGCGATGTTTGCATCGTCTTATGTGTGCGAACAAACTTTTTCAACCATGAAATTGCAGAAAAACTCAATCAGAAAGTGATTGACTAATGAACACTATTTCGCACTGCTGAACGTTGCTTCATCACAGCTGGAACCTGCTTTCGAAAATATTATGGAAAATCAAAAACAATTCCATATGTCTCACACGCCTACCATGGTTGAGCTTCCGAATAAAAGTTAAATTAATTATTATTTAAGGTAAAAAGTAATTTGTAACATTTGTCTGTAATGCTGTAATGTTTTTATAATATTATGATTCAAAGCTTTGATACAAAATGCATATTTTCTATAATTCTGGCCCTCCTCTAGACTTTCTTAAACCTTGTGGCCCTCCCCCCCATTAGAAAAGTTTGCCCACCACTGATCTAAATTATGTTGAAACTGATCCCAATAAGTGGGACCAGAGCTAAGAGTCTGTCTGGTGTTGAGTTCTGGTACTGTCCCACAGGTTAGAAGTACTGGAGTATGATCACTAGATAGCTCATTTAAGTTTTTGTGTGTGTATTGAGATGTCTCGGAATTTTTGTTAAGAAAAAATCTAATATATCAGGTAGTCTATTCGCTTGGGGTGGCCAATAGGTGGGCGCATCAAGAGAAATAAAAGTGATATTGTTTTTAAAAATAGAATTGTGTAGTATTCGTCGTTTGGGGGGGAGGGAGATAGACGGATGATATAGTTATAGGAATACAGTTGTTGAAATTTATTGATATATTTGCAGCTTGTTGATGTGGTTTATTTATGATTTGGAGTTCGGTGTAAACGATTGAAGATTTGATAAAGATAGCTGCACCCGCGTGCGCTGTTCCGTCAGGATGATCTGCATGAATTATTTTATAACCGTTAATTTTAAAATTTGTATTTTTTGTCAGGTGGATTTCGGAAATAAGAGCTAAATCAATGTTTTTGTTATGCAAAAGGTAGTATAGCTCGTTTGCATGTTTTTTTAATCCATTGGCATTCCAAAGAATTATCGATAAAGGAGGTGTGGTGTTAGAGTTAATTGACATTATTATTTTTGAGAAGTACTTGACTAATTACTTGAGTTAAAAGAGTTATAAGTGGGTTTATAATGGATTTTAAGTCGTTTATGAATGTATTCAATTGAGATGTAAGGTTATTTATAGACTCGGTACTTTGGTTTAGCGGGCATTGGTCATTTTTGTTAGAACTGGTTTTATTTTTTAGTACTTGGGAATACGATGATTCAATATATACATTTAGACCTGTGTTATTGTTTATAATTGTGTTTGACAAGACGTGTTCATTTACATAGTATTTGTTGATTGAATTTGATATATTAGTTTGGCGATCCGGCTTGGTTTCCCGAGTTTGTAGGTTTTTGAAGACTTCACAGCCTAGGTAATTTGCGGAATGGTCCCCTCCACATAGTGTACATTTGGCAGGAAGATCTCTGTTTTTGGTACAAGATTCAGAGCTGTGTTGTTCGCTACAGCGTACGCAACGAGGCTTGCTGTTGCAGTAGTGACGTGTATGACTGTAATTTTGACAATTCATACATTGCGGTAATTGTTTACGTGCTTTGGGTGCTTCAACTTTAACTTTGGTGTAACAAAGTGAGGTTAGCGAGAAAATGTCTTTATTATTTAGAGCGGGTTCGAGGTCGATAAAAAATAATGGTAAAGGGATTTTTGTTAGATTTTGCAAAACGTTTGTAATGTTACGCGCTAGATGACCGTTTTTTCCGAGTTCTTTGATAAATTCGATTTTTGTTGATGGATGTAAGTTTCGGATCACTATGCGGTATGCTTTCAGTTGATATGTATAAAAATCAACGTTGTATTCTTTTAGATATTTTATAACTGAGCGAAAGGAACTTATTGTGTCTGTTTGAAGTTTTAAGGCGTTTGTTGTGATTTTGCATGTGAATTCGGCTGTGTTCGATTCAAGGGCGTCCGCAGGGGGGGGGCAAGTAGGGGCATCTGCCCCCCCTTGGCTTTTTCATGGATCAATTATCTTAACCATTATGTAGTATAAAATATCATAAAATAAATATTTTTTTAATTTAAAAACATTTTTTGAAACGTTAAGTGCCACATAGTCGACAAATGTTATGTGGATTTTTTTGGGTGTATTATGTCATCGGTTTTCGATGCACTGTTTCGACTATTATATGTGAATATTAAATATTTAATAGGATCTCGTGATTTCATTGGTATCATTGAATATAAATACTAAAATACTACAAGTATTTAATATTTATAATCATTAATCAATTTTGGTATATTTGGATTTTGCGTAGCTATTTTTAGTGGGTATTAATTATTTTTTCCGAATAACGACGACGGTGACGGCGATGTGTCGAACAACGCAGCGGTGCTATTTCCGATAATAATATAATATTATCTCGACAAATAATTGACCTTCGGCGCGGCGTCGCGGGTCAATTTTAGCATGGAAACTAACTATATAGGATATACCCATCATAAATACTGTGGCACTCAGCGTATTAACATATACTCAGCTGAACTTTTATGACTTTTAATGTAATTTATGAATATACCTAGTGTCTTAGTGAGTAGTTTCATAATTGATGATGTTTAGTATTTTTAATATTAAAAAAAAGGGTAATAATAATTCTAAACAAGATGGTCAAGATGAGCAAAATCAAAACTGTAAGATTTATAATGAAGATGGTGAACCAAGTGATAAATCAAGTAATGATATTTTTAATAATTCTTTTGAAGAACAACCAGTTACAGAATTACATTCGATACCGACGACATCATCGTCATTAAAGTCATTTAATTCAAATTTATCGAATTCTAGTAATTTAGGTAATGATAGATTTAGTAGACTAGATATTGGGAACTTTGTTAATCTTCCATGTACAATAGTTATTGATGAAAAAACAAAACATGAACTATTAACCAATATCTGGACACCAGAAATTAAGTATAGTTTCAAGAAAGATAGTACGTCAGTTGCTCGTTGTTTTCGGCATGAATGGTTAAGTACATATTCACCATGGTTATCTTATTCTCAAAAAATGAAAGGTCCATTTTGTGTGTTCTGTGTTCTATTTCATTCATCTAGTGGTCATGGTAATTCTTATAAACAAATTCAGTTTGTAAAAAAAACCATGTATTAAGTATCAAGATTTTCACAAAAAAGCATGCAAACACAAAGTTTCCAAGACACACTTACAATGCACGGAAAATGCGGTTAATTTTATTAAGATTTTTTCTAACAAAGCTTCAACTGTTTTTGATAAAATTAACACTTCTCATAAGTTACTGATTGATAATAATAGGAAAAAAAATTTTCCTATTATTTCAAGTATACTATTTTGTGGTACTCAAGAAATTGCTTTGCGTGGAAAAACATCAAATGAAAGAAATTTCAATTCTTTAATTAACTTTAGAATTGAAGCTGGTGATAAAATTTTACAAAGTCATTTAGAATCAAGCCCCAAAAATTCCAAATATATTTCAGCTAGAGTTCAAAATTAAATAATTAATATTACAGGAAAAATAATCTTGAGCAGAATAACAAATTATTTAGTGAAATCGCGATCATTTTTTTCTATACTCGCTGATAAGACTGCTGATATTTCTGGTACCGAACAGTTATCCATAGGCATAAGATATATCTCATTTGAATCAGAAAACCCTGTAGTTAAAGAAGAATTTTTAGGTTTTGTTGCATTAATAGATATGCATGCTAAAACTGTAGCAAAATCTATAATACATTTTTTGAGACACTCTGGTCTTAATTTAAACAATTTAATAGGACAAGGATATGATGGTTGTAGTGCTATGTCAGGTATTCATAATGGTGTCCAAGCAATTATTAAAAATGAATTTCCTAAAGCTGTATTTGTACACTGTTCATCACATAGACTAAATTTAGTAATAAATGATTTGAATAAACTTCAGCATATTCAAAATTGTGCTGGAATTATCAATTCGATTATTAAATTTTTTAGGTTAAGTCCTAAAAGAAGAAAAAGAATAGAAAAAATCCCTTATTTTTGCGAGACTAGATGGTCAGAAAAATATAAAACTATAAGAATATTTAGTGAACAATTTGTTGGAATAGTTGAACAATTAGAAATAATATCTATGGAAACATGCTTTGATTCACAAACAAAAAGTCAAGCATTTCAGTTACACAGTGCAGCAACTAAATCAAATTTTATAGTGTGTTTATTCATAATGGCAAAATTTTCTGCTCAACTAGAACCTATAACGAATGCATTACAAGCAATACAGTTAGATTTATCTCAAGCTAGAAAATATATTACTGAAATCATTGAAGTTTTTAACAACCTGGATGCGAAAAATTATTTTCATGAGATTTTTAAAAAGGCTCAAAATTTTGCAAATGAGCTTGGAGAAGAAATTGAAATTCCTCGTATTGTTTTTAACCAAAAGCATCGTTTAAATCATCCAATAAATACTCCTGAAGATTATTTTAGAGTTTCCTTATACCAACCATATGTAGATTCCTTAATAATGCAATTAAAACTAAGATTTTCTAATGAAAACAGTGCTGCTCATTCCTTATTAAATTTACATCCGAATAATATGAAAAAAATGCAACATGATGAATTTAAAAACATGATAGTAGAAATAAATAATTTTTATGAAATTGATAATTTGGTTGAGGAGTGTATATTATGGTATAATGTATGGAAAAATAGAAACACAAATCAAAGTGAAATGAAAAATATAAGTTTCATAAGTCTATTAGATGAAGCAAATTTATATCCAGCAATTTATATTGCACTAACTATCGCATTAACTATGCCAGTTACTACTTGTTCAGTAGAAAGAACTTTTATTACACTACGTAGAGTAAAAACTTGGACAAGAAATACTATTGGTGATAATCGACTTAATGGTTTATGCATGATAGCTGTCCATAAAGAGTTTGTCGAAAATCATAAATTAAAACTAATTGAAGAAATTATAAATGAATTTGGTTTACTACCACGCAGAATGGAACTATTATTCAATGATTGAATAGTTATTATTTATAATTATTTGTTAATATTTTTATATTAGTTTTTTCTTAGAACCCCAAGTTGTGTGAGGTAATACGTATATTAAGTTTGATCTTTATGATGTTTCTTTTTTATTTCATTATGTATAGGCCTATAGCGTATATACTTGTATTTTATTTTAGAATATTAAAATTTAAAAGTTTTTATTATTTATATAGTTTAATATGTATTAATACATATTTTTTTAATAATTTATTTTAATCAAAGTTATTTACTATAATATTATAATATAGCTCTAAGCAGTATAAGCTATGTTAGTTTTTAATTAAAAGAATAAATAAGTTATTTTCAAATAGTTTTTTATTTATTTTATAGAAGCTAGAAACATTTAATTTTATAAGTAATCTAAAATTACCAAATCAATGATTACATTTTATTTGTATAAAAAAATACATTTGTTAATTTAAAGTTGCACATTAATTAATTAAAATTAATACTGTAAGATTAAGTTTTAATGTTCTAATTTTATACATGATTAATAATTTAATTTTTACGTTCCCTACTTATATGATAGAAAACACGTCGAAAACAATAAGGTACATTATCACTAATCAGATAATGAAACAAAAATTAAAAAATTAAAATACCTTGCCCCCCCCCTTGACACATTCCTGCGGACGCCCTTGGTTCGATTCTATTTTTTATGTTAGTGCAGAAAGAACTAAAATCGTTTATTTTAGTTTTGATAAATATTGGTGGTGGTTTTTATCTAATGGGGCTGGGATGTCTTCGTCCATTGACTCAATTTGATCATCTTTGTCAACTTGAGAGAGAAGAGCGTAACTATTTTCAGTGACAAATTTTGTGTTAGATTGATTTTTAATGTTTTTAGATTTAGGAGAGTTTCCTTTGGAAGTAGGATTTGAACGCTTAAGTTTTTTTTGGTGAAGTTACTTCTATCCAGTCAAAATTAAAGACACCGTCATCGAATATTTCAGTAGAATTTGATTTTTGTATAGTGTTTTGATTAATTATTTTTATTGGCGATACACATTTATTATTCTTTTCGGAGTTTGGCAGTGGGTTGCATGTTGATAATAATTGATATTATCTACTAATTATGTGATAATTGCAAGATAATTTATGAGTTTTGAATTGCGTGCGCAGTTCAATGTCCGAGTAACGTGATTAGCGTATTATAATAAGTATATTAACGGTTTTCAGAAATAGATTTGGTACTTTACGTATATGGGTTTGTATAATTAAAATACTTACACAAAGTCTTGTCTTGGGGTTTTGGGCCCCAGACGGACGGCGATTTTTTTTTTTGTTAAAAAGCATTTAAAAATTTTAGTTTTTTTAACACTTTTCGGAACAAAAACGATTAAGAATTTAGTTAGATTTTTAATAAAATCGTAATTATCAATTAAATTAGATGCACACATTACGAGTGCGGGACATCGAATGAATTTATATTTACGAAGATATTTTAATCGGGAAAACATGGTAGGCAACCATGTATACAGTGTATCAATGATAAAGGTAACATGAAATATTTCGAACGCATGACCTTGTATGCAATTCGGGTTTTTTGTAATGCATAAAGAACATAAAGTTATATTTATTTTTGATAAATCTTAATTTAAAAAAATTTTGCACATGCGCAACAAAATGATTTTTTTTAAATGGCACCCCACATTTTTGAGTTAAAATTTAAATTATGTGAATTTTTTCAAGCAACTTTGATCTTTAAAGTTTTGCTCTATCTTCAAAATTGACTGATTGAGAATGAGTTAAATTTTCAATTTATAACATTTGTATTTATCGTATTTTTCAATAATCTACTTAAAGTTTTACAAATTTATAAGTGATTTCAAATGAATTTTTCTTAAAAATGAAGTATACTATTATATATACAAGTAATTTTTATTACTTCTATAAAAATTTTAACTCACCTGCGCATAATGCATTAATTGTTCGCAAATATTTAGAGAGAACTTTTAATCATAGATGGATGGACACTCATGGGCCACTACAATGGCCGCCAAGATCACCAGATTTGACACCTTTGGATTTTTTTGTATGGGGATATCTGAAGACAGTTGTCTATTCTAACTTACCAAATGATTTTCAAGATTCGAAAAATAAAATAATTATTACGTGTGCATAGTTAACCGAGGAACAAATACTTTCTGCAACACACAGAGAAATATTGCGACGGTGTGAAGTATGCATTGCAAATAATGGTAATAACTTCGAGCAATTTATACGATGAATTGTATAATGTAATCAAAACTCACCTGTATATAATTTAATTGTTCAATTAAATCAAAATTTTGTTAAATTAAAATAACAGAATATGTGTTAGTTTGTTTAGTTTGTTTATGTATTAGTTGTAATTAACAAAAATTATACCATTTAAAAGAAATTTGAATTAAAATTCTTTTAAAAGTAATATAAATTACTTATACTTATGATAGTACACTTCATTTTTAAGAAAAATTCATATGAAATTACTTTTGAATAAGTAAAACTCAAAAAAAAAAGTAGACTATTGAAAAATACGATAGATACGAATGTTACAAATCGAAAATTTAACTCATTCTCAATCAGTCAATTTTGAAGATAGAGCAAAACCTTAAAGGTTAAAGTTGCTTGAAAAAATTCACATAATTCAAATTTTAACTCAAAAATCGGGGGTACCATTTAAAAAAAATTATTTTGTTGTGCATGCGCAGAATTTCTTTTCAAAATTAAGATTTATCAAAAATAAATGTAATTGTATGTTTTTTATGCGTTACAAAAAACCCGAATTGCATACAAGGTCATGCGTTTGAAATATTTTGTGTTGCCTTTATCGTTGAACTGTATAAAAGCCCATCAAAAACATATATGTAAAATTAGAGCCAAGTTCAATACTATAATATATGCCTTGGTTGTTGACTTCAACGATAAAAGAAGTGAGATCTAAATGGGTGCCATGTTCAATGGTCAGTCCTGAAATTTATTTATAACAACATAAAATATTTTATAACAACTTAAAATATAATTTTTTCTTATAACAGGATAATATATTAAAGCCAAGATCTGACTTGGTTAGTTTTCATATACAAATTATTATTAAGTACCTACTGAAACAGTAATGGAAGAGTGAAGATGATTTTCGGAAAAAAAAAATAAAAACTCACAGCTTTAAAACTTGCGAAGCCTATAATATAATTTGTAACCAAGTCAGACCTTAGGCTTCAATATATTATCCTAAGTTATAAATTTCAGGACTGACCATTGAACTTGGCACCCATTTAGATGTCACTTCTATTGTCGTTGAAGTCAATAACAAAGGTATATATTATACCTATTATTATTATAGTATTGAACTTGACTCTCATTTTACATATATGTTTTTGGTGGGATATCATTACTTTTTGTTTCAATCATTTATACTTTTCCGATTGACTACGTCTCATTCTTTTATGAAAACTATTCATTTATTATTTCTTAATTTATAATAATATTTTACTTACGATATTCACTAACTCCTTATATACTAAATATACTAATAAACAAAAATTAAACGTTAGCGCCGTTAGTAGTTAAAAAACTGTAAAGGTGTGTTTACATTAGGTCGCGAACGCGAACGAATGGAACAAAATTCTACCGAACGAATGTGAACGCATATTCGCTTGACATTCGGCCACGACCGTTTACACTGTTCGGTCGTTCGTGTTCGTCAGTCTTCGCTTCTACAAAAATCTTCGCTCCAATAAAATACAACAAATTTAGTTAGTATCGACACAGCTGCTGTCGAGTAAGGACTATTAATTTTTTGACATTTAAGTGAAGTATAAAGCCTTTTAACCAGGACGAAATTTATTTGTGTTTAATTTGAATATTTGTAATTTTTATAATTAAAATGTCATCAAGTGAAGAAGATGATTTGTTATTAACTACTCCAAGTTTTATGCTCATGAAAGCATTATTGAAAAGAACTTCAAAGACAAGAAGAAAACGTCGATGGTGGACGACTTCGTTGTACAGTAACAGAGGATTGTAAAGTGGAACTATGTTGCTAAACGATCTACAAATCCATACCTACAATTTCATAATACATCTATATAATATTACGTTTATTTGCATTAATATAAATAAATAAACCAACCGTAATTAAATTATACTTAAATACTTAAATACGATGTGGTTTTACAAATATAGCGATAACATTATACATCGATAGTATATAATAACTTAATAAATTAAATGTCTATATCGACAATATATTACATTATAAATAATGTCATAAATAGTTAAATATTGTTTTACTCTCAAGCGATATATAATACAATATCAATAAATAATAAATTAAAATAGCTTGTTTAAATATTATAAACATTACATAAGTACACATGAAATTGCTTGATAGTGTGTTTGCGTGTATACCAATTTAATAAATATTAAATCATTATAAATTAATGCGGAATCGAAACCGTTGCTAACAATAATGTTGTACGTGAAATCTGTCGATGAGGACCTGTGTTACCGGGTGGTTTGCTCCTATCTGTACACATGCGAAACGATACAAACACGAGTAAATACTCGCATACAAAATGTCTGATACCCTCAACTAATAAAATCGTACAGCCGATTAATTATGGTTCTCCGTACACGCGCGTGCGCGCGCACACGTGGCATATGCGACATAAATGTACATGTAATAATTATAATAATAATATAGAATATAAAGGGATCCCCGCGAAACGCTTGGTCCGTATCACTTAAGATTCATTTTCTTATTTTACAAGTATCTGCTAAATATCCAAACCGCTTAAATATAAAACTATTCGTACTAATAATATATTATAATAAATATATAGATCGATATAAATTATTTATTATTTAAATTTATTTTTTTTTTGTTTATCGCGTCTTTTTCTGATTTAAATGTTTGCGCGTGCGTCGTCTCGGTGTCGTCGTGTTCTTATCGTGTCACTCGTAAAGCGTGGAGTCCATCAGCGGTTCCCTCTGGAAACCGCGGCTGCCGCAACCATCCGGTCCCTTAGGCATCCTGACCACGTTGTCGGGCGTCACCAAACCTAAGCTAGGGCGCCGTCCTCTGCCCCCGGAGGAGTCAGAGTCCACGGACAGGCGCCTGCCACCCTCGCCCATGGACGACGAGCTGCTCTTGCGCGACCAGTTGTTGTGGAAGCTGTCACGTGGCGAACCGCAACAGAATTCTGACGTCGAGTCCTTGCGCATCATCATGTCGCCGGCACCACCGCTGTTGCTGCTGCTCGTGCTGCACCGCCTCATGTCGTAATGATGGTTGTCCTGCGACGAATGCCTGCGCATGGCCATCGATTGCTGCGGCGGCGGAAGCGGCGGTGGTTGATTGTGGCCGCAGCAACAGCACGATTGTTGCTGCAACTGCTGCTGCTGCTGGTGCTGGTGCTGGTGTTCCGGGCGGTTGGCTAACGAGTAGCGCCGCATGCCGAACGTTTCCGGTATGGACGCGCCGCTGCTGGACCGCGAACGGCCGGAGTAGTAGCTCTCCGAGCTGGAGTCCCAACCGGACGACATGCGTCTGCCGTGGCCGAAGTCGCCGGGTTGCGCGTGAAGCTGCGGCGGTATGTACGAATCGCGGCGCGAGTACACGGAGCCCGTGCTGTCCGTGCCCGAGTCCCGGGACCACCGGCGCTGGTTCCACGACGAGTCAGACCGCATTAGCGTGTTGGCCGATACCTTGCGCTGCACGCGCATCTTCTGACGCATGTCCTCCGACTCAGAGCCGCTCTGGCACGACGACGTGTTGTACTCGTTGTCGAACAGCCGGTTCATCGGCGACTTCTTCGCGGCCGCAGTGGCCTTCTTTTTGGACGCGGGCGCGTTGAGCTCCAGAACGCACATACTCTGCCCGTCCTTGGCCTTCTCCGCAGACCAGTCTTTGCTCATCGCGTTGTGCGCCGATTCGGTGCGCACGAACTCGATAAGCGCGCTCACGTTGTTGCCCATCTCCGGATGCTTGTTGACGAAGTGTCGCACGTCCGACGGTATCGGATTTCCGGGCCGGAGCACGCGAATTAGCGCGATCTCGCCGCAGCCACGGAACAGCTCGGCCACCGTCTCGATGGTGACCGGCTTCTCTTCGGCCAGATTGATGGCCACCACGGTGCGCGACGGCGTGGTCTGGTCGTACGCGGGTAGCGGTTCCTTGCGCCGCAGCTTCGTGCCCGACTCGTTCAGCTCCAGCTTCTCCGACTTCGATATGGCGTACGCGACGGCTCGCCAGTCCTTGGCCAGGTGCTTGACCCGCTTAAACGATGAGATGAGCTTCAGCGACACGTAGCCTTCCTTATTGCGGCGCACGTGCTTCAGAAGGAATGCGTCCTTGACAATGTTCGCGTCCGAGAAGTAAAACTCCACCTGGTCGAGTATGCGCTTGGTGGTCTCATCGTCGGGCGCCACGAACGGCGTCGACTCGTCACCCGACTTGACCTGACCGCCGCCCTCGTACGCCGAGTCGGACGAGTCCGTGTTGGTGATCGCGCCGTCGCCGACCGAAGCGTGATGCCGGCCACCGTCGTCAGTGCCCGAGCCGCTCGAATTGTTCGCGGACGACGACATGCCGTTCTGTTTCAGGGACCGCGGGTAGAACGGAGCCGCGTCGTACGATAGGGATATGTCGCTGTCCACGGACGACACGCTAGCGCGTTTCAAGTCGAAAGCTTTGCCTACGATCGAGACGGGCGCGGTGGCGGTGGTGTTTGCTGACGGCAGAGGTGCAACTATATCTTCGGTGTGGTTCTGCTGCTCGCCAACTGCCGGACCCTGTTGTTGTTCTTCCCCGACAACCGTGGTCGCGATCTCTTCGATCTTCTGCTGCGTTTCTTCTGGTGCTATCGTCGCTGCCATAGTACTTCTCTGTTGCTGTACTGCGCGCGAACGTTCACCTGCACATCACACGCGAGAGCTAGAGCGAAACACGAACACCACGTGACGACGGTTTACTACAAACGTATCACACACACACACACACACGCGTACGCGAAACGGTTTTCCCGCACGCGTCTTATGTCAACGTGAAGAAAAAACTAAACAGAGCACACGCACGTCCACTCGTCGCCCCCCCCGAACACTGTTTTCATGTACGCGACGTGATTCGGCTGCTTCGGCGGCGGCGGCGGCGTCGTCGTCGTCGGATATACAATCCCCCCGGGGATGGCGTCGATGCGATTTTGCGCAGGGTTAAATTTATTATTTTTTTTCCGCGGCTGCGTGACGGGTCGCGTATTTAATCTACGGCTGTACGTATTAAAAAATCAACTAAAACGCTGCCGCGGCGTTCACCTGCTTATATAACATGTGCACCGATCTGTCCAGGGTTATTGGACCGCCGTTGGTTCAATGTCGCCGGGCCCCCACCGCGGCCGTTGCAGCAACCGCCGCCGGCGAAACGTCGGCCCGTCGCGCCGCCGATATCCCGCAACACGGGTTCGAGCGCGTAAACGGAGAGGAGAATATTATCATATCGCATTATGTGTTACGTTTATACGGACGCAACACCGTCGAAAGTGAGAGTTTGCGAGAGACATAGAGACAAAGTTTACGAGAGAGTGAAACGGATGTCGTGTTTTTTTTTTTTTTATCCCATATGCGAATGTAGGTAGCGCGTGCGTGAGTCTGTTGGATTTTTTTTCACGCGTATGCTCGTGTGCGAGTAATTGTCGCTAGGGATGTGTATGTGTGTGTATGTGTACGTGCGCATATTTTTGTGTATTTTATATATTTGGTGCATATTTATTTAGGGTTGCGTCATTAAAACATAATGAACGTGTGTGGGTGTGTGTGTGTGTGTGTGTGTGTGGTTGTACACCATGCGATTCACGCGCCTTTTACTATATTGCGAACGGATACGCGGCCGCGATTGTGGTTACGCGCGCAAATCGTTGTGTAGGTATACACGCTTCACTTCCGATTCGCACTATTCGCACGTTCTTAACGTTGATAATACTCGAGCGTGCGCGCGCGTCCGTTCTCTTCCTTGTTCCGGACACCGCGGCATTGAGACTTTAATATACATGTAAGTGTGTGTGAATGTATATACATTTGTTTATGTGTGTGCACGCGGGGGGACCTTGGTTGTGAAGGTGGCCGCCCGGATCGAGTCTCTCCTTTATTATAATGTATCCATATATATCATTATTATGATTATTAATGCTATTATCGTTACTGTACTGTACTCGAACAAACGCTCCGTCGTCGTCGTCGTCGTCGTCGTTATTGTTGACACTAACCGTGTGTACCTATAAATAATACAGGACGCGTACACGTATTATAGAGGTGTATACGCGCACACAATACTAAAAGGATAACAAAAAAAAAAAAAAATTATATCAACTTTTTTCATTTCAATTTTATGTATATAACGCGCTCGCGCGTAAAGTCCTTCGGACGAATTCGGTAAATTTTTACGCTTGTCTCTTCTCCCCCTCCCCCGATTGACGCGTTATTATTACTATTATATCATCGCTCGGAAATCCGTTTGTGCATTCAGAAACGTAAAACAAAAGAAAACGTAACGCACAGTCTCCATATATATATATATATATATTTGAATGTTCTATTTTATATTTATTAAATAACTATACTTGCTCGAAATTCGCCCTTGATTAATATTATTATTTTTATCCTTTTTCTGTTAAAACAGCCACGTCAAATACATTCGGTGTACCCATCCTTCGCCATACCAACCAATGATATTTTATTGAAACCTAAAATTAAAATAGTTTTCATTACGCAATTCCGAATGAAATGTATGCGTGTATACGTTGTTTGTCATTTTTTTTGTTATTGAAATTAATGACTTTTACGTGGGGTATAATATTTTTTTTTTAAAACCATCCTTTACAAACATTAGTTCTTCATGGTATTTGTATTAACACACTGTTTAGGTACTAAAATATTATACATCTTCGTTTTTTGTAGACGACTTGAACTGAAATTGCTACTACGTTTATAACATAAAATTACGATAATTTCATCACGTTTAAAAAGTAATACAAATGCTGTTACTTAGATTATCCTGATTTATTGTTGCAGGAAAAATACAATTGTTACAAAATAATTCGATCAACCGTCATACGAATAAAATATCGATAACGATATTTACTTATACTAATGAATATTATCTCCGATAATTTATTTATTGATTACGTTATTTAACTTAATAATCAACATAAAGATTAGTTTCGAATTTAACATATTACCCGTGTATCCTTGAAATCGTATTTGAAGTTTATCAAAAATAATTTTGTTATTCATTCTGTTAGGTCACATTTAGTGTCAATTTGTATTTTATATATTCTATAACCATCTATTTTTATACTTCAATTGCGGACTACAATCATACGAGTAAATGTCTAAAATACGTATAGTAGGTGTGTATATTTTTGCGTTTCAACAACTTCAAGTCTATCTAAATAAACCTTAATCTTCTTGTATTGTGTTCTTTAAATTTAAATCCTTGACTTAAGGTTTTTTTTTTTTGTTATCATCGAGAACTGGCTAACATGTTTTTTTCATTCACTCTACATTTTATCACTGTACTTATTTGTAGGCCATTTAACTTTGAACTAACGTTTATACTCCTGTAACGCATTTAAAGTTCAATTCGATAACGCACGAATCACCCTCACAATGCAATTAATTGTGTACACACAACAATAACTTATACTTCAAATGCAATTAAATCATGTACAAGGTGTTCCTCGAGGATTTTTTTTTTAAATTATGATACATATAAGCTTAAGGATTTTAATTTAAATTTTTTTAAAGTAACAAGAAAATTATAAAAAAAACAAAAGATTTACATTTATTAAATTACTAGCGCACACTTTATATAACGTATGCATAATAATATTTATTTTTTATTTTTGTAACTAAAATAATAATTAATTAAAAAAAATAAAAAATGATAAAACTAAATTAAACATGCACAAATGATACATCAATATATATTATGGCATTTTTAGTTTACACTTAATATATGTGTAAATACATAATTTGCCCAATTCAGACGTAGCCCGTATTAGGTGCGGGTACTTTAATATGATTAATATGTGCTAAATATAATTTGAGTATGTCTAGGTCATATTAATAATTCCAAGAATTTGTGCCTATTTGTTTTTGTTAATCAATTTGTGATTATTAATAATTTTTATTTCATCCGTAATTATTGCCGCGACCTTTGCGAACATAACAAACGTGTTCACCATTAAATGTTTTGTAACTGATACGGTCGTATTGAATTCAAAATAATTAATACACTGATTAAGAGCAAAGGCTACCAGGTCATTGTCATGTACCCATAATTCCAAACATGTATTGAGAGTGGCAATTTCTGATCTCATAATCCGATATCGTCAATTCATTTTTATAACCTGCAAACGGGTATAATAACCAAACCAATACATACGTATCATGTATGCTTTCTCGGAAAAAGGCCATTCTGGTATATTTTATTTTGTTTTCAACCGGTGCATTGAAAGGCCCGAAAATTCAAGTGCGATTTAAGCTTTCGAAATATTTTTTAGTTCACTACAACCATGAATACACAATCAGGGGCGGGGGTGGATAGGAATATTTATAAGTGATATATAGAGTACAATGAATACTTGACCAATAATAAATAACAATAATTTATTTAACCAATTTATTGAAAAATAAGTACAACGCTTAATACAAATAATTAACTAGGTATCTTTATTTAAGTACCTATAAAAATTCACTATTCAAAAATATTAATTATAATAGTAATTTAACATTTTTTTTTTTCATTTGCAAACTTATTAATGACTTCTTAAAAATACGATTTCCAAATATTCCTATACCTCGGCTTATCTGTATATTATAAAATCAATGGTTATAGCTCGGTTGCTTGGTCACATCCTCGGTCGTATAAAGAACCGTGATCACAACCATTATCGTGAAACATCCTACTCATACAAATAATTTATAGGTATTTATAAAATTATTATATATACCTATACAAAAAATATTAAATAAATCTGTAAAAAAAAAAACAAGGGGAGGATGTAGGGCGATCACCCCCCTCCACAGATCCGCCACTGTACACAATAGAATACAAAAGCCAAGCAAATTATGTAAAATGCTTGATAACGAAAGGAAAAAAAAAAGGTTGGTTATACGATGTCTTGAGCTTTTATTCCTGATTCGTGATCACATATTAACACGTTCAAAGTGAACCCTTAAGTGAGAATAATGCATTATCATAACGTATTAACAATAAAAAATTAAAAGTCTTGTACATATTAAGATAGTCAGAACATAGTTTTTAAGTTATTAATTTAGTTATTTTTCTTCTTTGAAATTTAACATCGATGTTCTTTTGAGGTTTTTATTGTGTATTTGCAACTCGCATCTCTTGTGTGAACAGGAAAAATACAATACTTGATTCGTAAAGCGTTAACGATGATTTTTTAAATTTTTTTTTCTTATCGTTAAATACTTAATATTTTTTTCCGTTTTTTCACTGGTTAAAAATAAAGTGAAAGTTCACGTCTAATATTATTTAGTTATTTTGATAATAAACACTTACAAATAAGTACTTACAAATAATAATTACTAATTATAAATGCAATTTTCATTAAAAATCCGAATTTTAAAACGTGTTTATAACAATGTACAAATTATTATCATAAAAATAGAATATTATTAAATCCCGGAAACGAATTTTTGTTGGTCGTTGGCTACCGAGATTCGGGCGATAGACCGTGTTCTAGAAGCTTTCAGGGCCATTGAGTTTAGAAAAATGACCAACGGTAATCGTTATTTAACATTTGCCATCGACTAATTTTTTTGCAAAGTTAAAACGTAGGTATTACAATGAACGAAATGTAATATTATCATAAGTCATCATAGATCACCAACGACGTATTGATATTTCTACATGGCATACTCTCCTTAATAAACTTTAAGATTTATTACTTAATTACTTTACAGTGACATATTAAATTACATACATAATTATGTATTATATACATAATAAGATATTACTTCGTAGACGTTTATTTAAAATATGTTGTTAAAGTAAATAGAAAAATATTAATTTTACTACACAAATATGCATACATTGAAAAAATATCCTGGTTTATTATAGAAAAGTTTGCAAGAAGTCTACCATCTGAATCTGACCGTATTTCGAAATTAAATAGTTTTGTGTTTATTATTTACCAAAAACAAGAAATATAATACATATTAAGTATAATTAAGTATAACCAAAAACTGATAAACCAGTTACAGATTTTTCGAAGGT